AACTTAAATTAATAAATCTAATTACACTTGAGTGGTGAAGCAACAATGCTAATGCCCAGAATACTTCAAATTACATTTCATCATCAACTGTCTCTTTACTTATTTGTCATAGCTGTTTCTTTCCTTATATGAAAAGCTGCCAGATTCTCTGGAGGAGTATTTACAGTAACATTATCTGACAGAAGATTTTTAATTTGACATTAAAACCGTTCAAGTTCACTTTAGACCATTTTAAATTCTATTAAAGTACTCCTTAACACCTTATTTATGAGCACATTCTCTCTTGTGCTACTGAAGGAGACCATTAGGTCCTCCCTCCCAAGGGAAGACGCATCCTTCAGCCTTCCTGACTTTCATACGTGCCCTTAGCTCAGTGCTGAACTCCCACTTCCCCCGGAAGTTATGCTTTCAGAAGTAAGCTGTAATGTTTCTTTGTAAAGAGTGTATGACTTTCATTTTCAGTGGCCACCACGAGCTAGAAAGTGATATCTGAAAATGAAATTCTCACCCCTGGCATGAGTGTTGACAGAATTCTGTTAAATACTGACCAAATCATATTGTGAAATTGAGAACTGTGTATTAGACTAAGCACAGGAGATGAATAATTATGTGCCTTGAAGATATAACTGCTTGAGTAAATGTAGTAATACATTATGCTCAACTTCCTTAAATCAATAGCTTCTTTATTTTGTGGGTCCTGAATCTTCAAAAGGGTTATTTAATAGACTGTTTTTGTCAAATTCAGCAGGGCTCTGTAAATGCGCACGTGTGCCTGTAATTATTAGAAGTATGGTTATTACTGTGATATCTTTTGTTTTGAAGACCTCTACATTTTCTGACTGTTGTTGCAATGCACGCTTCTTTTAGAAATCCATCCAAGGTTACTAAATTTAGGAATTTATATAAAAAAGCAGACTTTTCAGTTTACCTGAATCAGAAACTTTCTTTACATCTGCAACCTGTAGGTCTTCAGACAAATTACTAACAGAGTCCTCTTCACCTGTGTCTCCAGGTATTTCTGTGTAAATAATGCTATGTTAATTAGGGCATTGCATTTGTGTTCCACAGAAGAACAGCTGTGCTGTGTCAAGTCAAATGAGCCATCCAAACTATTGATCCGCTTTATGCCAGCAGTCATTAGTAGATGCATAAAGAAAGAATTTAGAAAAAGCAACTGAAGAGTGAAACTTCTCCCAAAATGCTCTCATAGTTTTTGATCAGACTATCCACTTATCTTTGCATTACATTTTTCTTCATTGAATTCTTCCATTAACTTGCTAGGCTTATATTTTTGGCCGTAAAGTCATCCATCATGTAGGATTCTTACTGTTTAATAAATGACTTTAATTTTAATTTTGTTTTTAAATAACATGCCTCTTCCTGCATGTACACACATAACAAAAAAAATTAACTCTTATGCACTGTAGGTTCATTGGTCCAGTGGCAGTCTGATCTTTTCTTAGCTAAGCTGCAAACAGTCTATTCAGACTTGATTTTGATTACAGTTGTCTCTCTCTGTCTCTTTCTTTTCATCTTGTTTTCCTCTTTTTGTTTCCTAGTTCTATAGAAAACACTTGGAGGAAATGAATGAATAATATTAAGTGAACTACTGGACAAAACAGTGGATTTCTACTCTGGGTTCCTTCACCACCCCACCCAGCAAATTGGTTCACCTACCTGCTTGGTTTTTTGTGATTCATTTTTAAGATTGCTGTTGCAAAAAATTTAAAACTAAAAATTTTAAATAATATGTGGGTAGCTGTATTACTTACCTATGGAGTCCTTTCCTGATTTTGCTTCTGTCCACTCTGGAGGCCTCTCACTTTCCTCATTATCTGATTTACTTGCTTGTTCCATGGTACCATGCCCCAGAATGGCATCCAGTTCATTAAAAAATTTCATGCTTCTACTTGTACTCCCTGAGTCTTGGCCATTTTTTATGCTCTTGTATTCATGTTTCAGATTTTTATATTTTGTCCTGCACTGCTTCCAGTCCCTGTCAATTCCGAACTTTTGAAGTCTAGCAGCAACCTGTTCAAATATTCTTTTATTTCTCACTGTCCCCTCCAGTTGTTGCTGGATATTTTTGTCTGACCATATGTGTATCAGAGCTCTGACTTCATTAACAGTCCAGTGTTTTCCTCCTTCATTTGCTACTGTTGGAATGAAAGCCGGTGTTTTGGAAGTCTCTACGGCTGGCGGTGGATTACCTGCATCATGTGGGGTAGGGGAGAGACACAGACACAGGTTACCTGCATTAGGTAGGCGGGATAGGGAAAGGACAGAGAGAATGAGGATGAAGTATGCTAGTTCCTAATGATTTTTCTAGCATAAAGACTGAACTTCCTGCGTTCATCTCATGCTTCTGGTTTTACGTACATGCCGAAGTTCAAATTGGGCAAGGATCTGAAGAATCCAATTTTTAACTCCAAAAAAAGCACCCCTTTTGAGGGAAGTGGACAAGTGGAGAATTTTGCCATTTTGTGATAATGAGCCTGGATCTCCTGGTACAAAACTGCTCCCTTTTTCAGTGCAGGTCAGCATAAATACCAAGATTTCAGTGATCAAAAAAATACATATTTTTAAATGAAAAATGACAATTTGAGTGTCTTATTTTGTAGAACTGTATTAGTATTATGTATTATGACTCTCTCCAGTCTCCAGCTTTTTTTTTTTTTTTTAGCATTTGGAAATAAAGGAGATACCATACAATCACTGTAAACACTGAAATATGATCTCTTGCATTGAAAAAGAAATCCTTATTTGTAATTATGAATTTGCTTAAAGACTTCATTTATGATTGTTTATTGAATTAGTTTGGGAAGTTGTATCTCATGCATTTTATAAATCTTTTCAAAAAATAACTTAAAAAACAAAAAGTGTTTTATCAAAGGGAGCAAAACTGAAAGTCCACAACAGTAACTGGTTTTTTTTTGTTTGTTTGTTTGTTTGTTTGTTTGTTTTTGCAGTCATTCTGAAGTCATAAATGCTTTTGCAAGTGGCTTATTCTAACAGGGCAAGCGTTATAGTCAGTGGGCTTTGTGTGATGGCAAAAATATCTGACCTTTGCTTGCACAGACAGCAGAAGTGGAACGTAGTTGAGTATAATAACCTGTCTGGGGACAAGCTTGTCCTAGATACAGGCATTATTTGCTCTGTAATTCATTCTAGTTGTGAGAAAGCTGTACTAAGAAATACCAATATTTTTCCTGTTAACTCTGTGATAACTGGACCTCTGCAGCAGCCAACTGACTGATGTTTTATTGGGAAGTGTAGTTTTCAGGTGATATATGCCTTCTTCATTTCTTCCTGAAGGAAAATGCTAGCTTACATGTGAATGCAACCATAGGAATTGCCATGGTTGTCGACTGTCAGCAGCAGATAAGCTTGATGTAGTCTCTACTTAGTATTACTGGGAGTATTTCACCTATCTGTGTTTCCAAAGTAGTTCATTCTTCACTGTCAGAGAGCACTGTGAACACCAGAGTAAAAAGCCCCAGGGGAAAAACAGCCCTCTGTTGGCTCTGCATTTCTCAGTCAAACCCATACAGTATATGGTAGTTTGAGAGGAAAAAGGTTTCTTTAGTTCTTGTATAGTCCAGTATTTCTCATTATGAAGTTCATTTGCAACTGAGCTCACTTTCAGTTATAAACATTAGTTTGAATGAGTTTTAGTGACTCAGTGGATTGCTCATCTGTTCTACTATATGCAGAGCAAGTAGAGCAGAATAGAAAGTTGCTTGTTTGGTTCCTCATTACCTTTAAAAAAAAAAAACAACAATATTTTACCCTTAATCAGACAAAGCGGTTGTAGTCACTATTTTTCTTTAATGTCTTAACTTCATTTCAGCTCAAATTTGTTTAAAAATGATTTTGAAATTATTAATACAGGATATCCAAATGTTTTTTAATCAGAAAGGTGTATGTGCCATATTTGGTATTTTTCTCAGCTTCTTCAGCATGAAAAAAAGTGAAGGATCTGCTGAAATGAACCAAAATATTAAGCAACATGGGTATGAAGGGCTCGATATTTTTTTTTCAGCGGTGTCTGAACCACTGTCTGAAATCTAAAGATTAAGGGTGGCACTAGAGAAGACATTTTAGTATCATATACTTTAGAGCCTATGCAATTTAAGTTACTGGGATGTCTTCATAGAAAGCAATTTTTCCAGAACTTAAGTTATTTAGCAGCTGTACAATTAACAAATGTACAGTTAGAAGAATAGCATAGTTAGGATAGTATTTTACAGGTTTATAGTTAGAAAGATTAATGTGGTGGAAAGAGACAATCAAAAATGAAATGCTCTTAGATTCACAATAGAAAACTCCAAAAGGAGGAATCTCCAGAAAGAGATCATTCCCTAGTGGCAGTCAGCCTTTAAATGAGGTCTCAGAGAAGTAGAGCCAGGCTCCATCCCTTGTGGTCACACAGGTGAATCGCCTTCACCTGTGCTCCCATGGCTGACTCAAGTGCTTGCCTTGGGTGATCAATCAGTGGTTCAGGCTGTGACTCAACAGTTCCCATACAGCAAGCCAAACAAATCTGCTTGGCAGTATGCTGTAAGAGCACTGATGAATAACACAGACCTATTCCTGTAAACTTTGTTTTGGATATGGCAATAAAAGTTTTGGTTTTATGTGTATATAGGTATACAGTTGCATGTGGTATTCTTGTCTCATCCTTGATTTCTTGTTATTCCCGGCAGAAGGAGTGTAGTGTAGCTATTAAAAGCCGTAGGCTTAGCAGGGGCCCTATTTTCTCTCAGAATATTGCACCTTAGAGATTATGTAATGAAAGTTTAGCCTGGACTGGGATGTACACTGGGGCATAAAGGGCTTGTCAGAAATGAAAAGAGCATTTGGGGAGATTCAGGACAGTGCTGCTGTTCATCCAGGGAAGGAATGAGCTCATCAATTCTCTCTGATTCTCCCCAAAATGTGTTTAGGTCTCTCTGTTGTCTTCAGCAGCCCCTTGATCATCTAGGATATTCACCTTTCTTAAAGCTTGCCAGGTTTGTACTTGTGCTCTGTAATGACTTTCCTTAGCAAAACTCTTATAGGAGTCCTACTGGCCAGTTTCAAGTTGTATTGTTGGACCAAAACATTGTTCACCAGTCTTTGCTTGAAGAGAGGACACAGTTGCTGTGAAGACTGTTGTGAACCTGGATTACTTAGTAGGAGAGGACAGACTTCTGCACTGCTCTCCTGGCTCACACCATTCACTAATACTACTTCAAGCAAACATTACATGAGTTGAAGAAAATCCACAAGTTGACATGTGGATCACACACTACCATTTGGCATGCTTTCCACTAGCATTTAACAAAACTAATATGGTTAATATGATTAAGCTATAACATGGGATGTCTTTTGAGTGGGAGTGGTGGTCGAGCAGGAGGCATATCACATGCAGTGATTATTTTAAAGCTTTGTTGATCAGACAATGATGGCATATTCAAGCTATTGAAAATGCTCTGAAAGCTTGGAAAGCTATGCATTTAATTTTGGGTCACTGCTCCATCATACTATACCTAGTTGAACTGGTCTGACATGTGACATAAAAAGTAGTGGATCTCCTGGTGCATCCTCATCGTCTTCTAAAGAAACTGATAATTCACCTGGGAAGGAAAGAGTTTTCAGATGAAAAATAGGTATGGACAAAATTAGAAATTACTTTAAGTGAAAATGTCCATACACAGTGAAATCAATAACTTTGTAATCTCCACACTTAATTTGTATTTAAATTAAATTTAAACTCATTTGGCCTGTCCCCCTAAAAGGACGGGAGTTACAGGAGTTAAATTAAATTACTTTACATCTACATGCAATGCCTGTTAGAAATATATTTTATTCTAAAATTCTTGTAGAAACTGACTTGATTCTAGTGACCCATATACTTTTCTGATCCTAGGTATTTGAGGTTGCACGTTAAAACTATAGTTTGGAAACAGAGAATGTAAAGATGTACAAAAAAGTAGGCTTAGCACGTGGATTTAGATAAACATGAATCAATTTATATAATCAAACAAAAATTTCCAAAAAGAACATTTAGAGAAGAATAGGAAGAAGATAATGATGTTCAGCAAAGAGTTGTGGAAATCTAGGGATTAATGGCACAGGGAACGTGGGAAAATACTTTGAGTAGAGCACGGACATACTTGTAGCTGACTGGATTCAATCTAGCTTTTAAAGTATTGCATTCCTACATTTCTTTAACAAGCAGCATTATAGCAATTGCTACATGCAGTTGGAAAGCAGCACATGTAGCTCAAATTATGAGTCAGCTTAATTTTCACAGAGGGCAGACTTTTAAATTGTGCTGTATTCAACACACTGCATTGACAGGAAGTTTGAAATGATGATTTTGCAGTTATGCTGAGTGAGCTGCTGTCATTGCCAACCAGGTAGGTCACATCGATCAAAGCTACCTGCACAGCACTATTGCAGTAATAACAGCGAGCAGTGACGAGGTGCAGTCCTGATGGAATGTGGCATCCCTGACGTAGGTGAAATTGAAAACTGCATCTAGATTTGTTTGAAAACATTATCCTAAATCCTTCCTGACTTTCAGCAAGACCCAGAATGACTCATAGATATTGTAGCCTCATTTCTAACTGCTGCCAGCTGTCCACCTTGTTTCCCTGGCAGAAGCTGTAATCCCCTGCAACTGGTTTGACAGGAAGAAAGGTGTGCTCCCACCTTCACCCCTAGTGCCAGGCCTTGTGCTTTATCTGCCTGAGAGCTGCAAAGCAAACTGTGGAGAGGGAAACAAGCTCTTTGTTGGAGCCCCACTGAATGGGCCACATGTGGGCAGTGGGATAAACAAGCTTTATTAGTAGGTACACTTTAAAAATAAACTGCTTAATATCATAAGCAAATAAGACCAGCAAACACGAAATATGTTGTATTTGAAAGAAAGGATATTTGATGGAAAAAAAGTATTTGATGAGTAAAAAAGTTTACATGCATGTATTGCATTCTCTTATTAATAAAGCCATGTATATAGAATATTTGTGAATGCTAAGTTTAATGTTAAAGTCCAGACATGGAAAACAACATATGCATGGCATTTGCAGGTTGCATTTCCATAGGATCTTTTTGTATTTCTAGTAGCTGTCTAAGTTGAGTGCATGTGATAACAATTTCCTTGCTGATACATTTCTGTTCTGATTGAACTGAAATTAGATTTTTTTCTACATTTGCTGTTGTAAAGCAAAGGGCAAGGAAGGTGAGTTTGTCCTCAGACACCTCTCTCTTAGATTTGATTGTGATTTTAACTATTAGCTTATCTAAATTACTTTCTAAAGGAAACTGACTTTATAAGATATGAAAAATAAAATCAGAAAAATACTGCAGAAACATCATTCAGTCCCAAAGAATTAGACTTCTTTTTTTCCCTTCTTTTCCTTCCTTCCCCTCCTCAGCAGTACCCTAGTAGTTGAAATAATCAAACAAAACTTTGTAGCTTGCAGGAAGAGTATGAATATTTAAACTGAGACTAAGGAGAATGGTAAAAGAGTTTTTTGGGGAGTGCGCACTGTCTGTGTCGTGCATTTTAAGTAACACTTTACGACACCTAAGTTCTCCAGATAAGATCTGCATAGTGAATATTATTATTTGGCACAGGTTTTAGTTTTCTGATAGCCTTTTGTTGTTGTTGCACCTCCTATGCAAGGCAGAAGCCTTGGGTTCCTCCAACTGTTAAAATAAAGCTTCTCAGCCCCTTTTGAAAAAGAGGGGGGTAGGACCATGCCTCACTCCGCTCCTGTAACTTTCAGTGGCTAAACAGAAGTTCAGGAGGACACCTGCAAGGACACAGATGTACACAGGTCTTAACAGGAGATACTTGTATGAAACAGTCCCTTTCTTCCCGAAGGCAGCAGAGGAGCTGTGAGGTTCATGGTGGATAGGCACAGAGGGCTGTGCAAACTCACGCTGCCATCTGTGAGTGTGCCACATTCACATCTGCACCCACGAGACACTTCTGACCACCAGCAGCACAGCCACAAATGCCACTTCAGCCTTATAACTGAATTTTGAAACACTGAGCTTGGCAATTCCTCCTTTCATAGCCACCACAACTCCGATGGCAATGGGAAAAGACTGTCCCTGCAGCAGCACTGTTTACATGGCTTTTGTCCTTAAATGAAGGAAGTTGATGCTGTCACGGCTATTCGCCCTGTCCATGGTGCAGATGTGTGTGTGCTGCATAGCTGCAGGACACATTCATTCCTTAACGAGCTTCCATTGTGGCTGAATTATGGTTGTGGGAATCTTTGCATTTAAATTGTAACCACTTGTGTTACATTATTACAATTACAGTTATTTTTACAGTTTTACAGTTACTATTACAGTTTCATTTACTTTGTATTCATAAAATAGTTTTGGTTTTTATTTTTCCTTGTAAAGGAAGTAGTAGAAATGCTTGTGCATTTCAGAGGTATATTTCACTATACCACCTTTAAAACCAGATTGTGCCAATACTTCAAAAAGAAGCGTCTCACCTCAGGGACAAAATTTTTTTATTTTATTTTTTGTGTTTTTTTCCAATTTGGGATTCATAACTGCAATAACCCTTCCTGATTTAAACTTGCAAGAGGTCGAAAGCAGATGAGAATTGGGATTAACAATCGGTGCAAACTGCATCAAAACACAGAGGATAACCTAAGTTCAGATCCTGAGAGGAGGGACTCTGATTTAGCTTTGTGCACTCCTCAGGATTTAACAGCTTGTATCAGCCACAGATTTGGCTCTCAGTTGTGCATATTTAAAAATAAAAATGGATTGTAGTAGCAATACATTGTGCAGACAGCACATGTTAAAGCAGCATGAAATTGGCATTTTATTTTTAAGTGACTTGTGACAGATTAGAGGCTTTCTGCTAATGATGAGAAATTAAGGTTGAGCTTTCAGCTAAGGTAAACAGTGGCAAGAGAAATGTTAATTCCTTTTTCTCAGACAGCATTGTAGAAGAGTACAGTGGTAAACTATGTGTCCAGCATCTCTGTGCCATTGACAGTCTCCTCTAATACTATTTTAGTGGGTTTATTGTTTTCTTTAAAAAGACCCACAGTCTTAATTAATGTAAATTGGTATATACGGATGAAACAAATGGAGCTTATCTTTGAATTTCTCTTTGTAGCCATATTATTTTGATACTTATAACTATTACTGGAGCTTGTGCTTCAGTGACATTCAAAATGTGATGAGGAGGTTTGAGTGCTGTCAAATAGCAGATTGACCCCAATGAAATGTTAAGCACAGCTTAAATGTATATGTAAAGAGGGCTGAATCAAACAAGGAATGCAACTAATTTGGTAAAAAAAAAAACAAAAAAAAAAACCCTTCAGAATAAGAGTAGCTGTAGTTACATGTTTTGCCTCAGAATATTCAGACAAACATGATGATTTTTACTTTTCCTTGGCACATTACAATTTTTAATAGGAAGTTATTAAACATCCCTCTGTTTCTCAAAAAAATGAAGTTAATCTCTAATAGAATAATTTAATTTACCTTTGGCCATTATAGCTGAAATTTCAATTACAGAGAAATAAAAATAAAAACTAGAAATTTCAGTTGTGTCACAAGTAACAGTTTTTGAAATCATCATGACATTTTTCACATCTACATTCAGTTTTCTTTAAGTTTAGAACTGGAGCTCTAATAGCCATGGTTCCAAATGAAATTAAAGGGAAAAAAAAAGCAACACCACACAACCATCTTTCCTTAATTTAACACCTGAGCTCCGTGCAGGAGCCTTGACACCAGAGTACTTATAGAGGTTTTACTGCAAGCAGTTATTGTGATTTGGTGAGAATTACACTGTATTTACAGGCTTCAACACTGGTGGGTGCTAACATGTCCTGCCCTGTGCCGGAGCGCATCCCGTCTGGGGCTGCCAGGCTGGGCAGCCTCGGTGCAGAGCCGGCAAACTTAGGCTGTGGGCTTGTTTGCCCGGGGCTGGCGGCTTTTCATTTAGTAGTTTTTAAACAAAGGGAAGATATAGAAGCAGAAAGAGTTTTACCTTGGCTGCTGTCTGCGGTGGGACTGGCGTTGAGCCGTGCGTCGGTGGTGGAGCACCTGGCGTTCCCCTCGGCAGCCAAGTGTGCGACAGGTTCACATCGCAGTATGGCATCCAGGTCATGAAAAAACTTCATGGTTTTAGTGGCATCCCCGGAGTTGCGGGCGTATTTAACCGTTCTGTATTCATACTTCAGGTTTTTGTACTTTGCCCGGCACTGTTTCCAATCTCTACAAACTCCTAACTCCTGCAGCCTTTTGGCAATGTAGATGAATATTCCTTTATTCCTCAGGGTGCCGTGGAGCTGCTTCCTGATGCTCTTCTCCGACCAGATGCTTAGCAAAGCTTTAACCTCCTCCTCAGTCCAGTGCTTCCCCGCTCCACTCTCCATGTTGAGAGTGACCTGGAAATGATTCACTATTTCTAGCCAAGATCTGGTTCCCTAGGCAACCAGGCGCCTGCTTCTCAGCAGCTCCGTGCACCGCCCCGAGCACCGCGGGCTGCAGGCCGCCCTGAGCTCCGCACCGGCACCCAGAGCCCCAGCGGGCCCTCGGCAGCCGCATTGCCATCAGCCGGCTCTCCGTCCGGCCCCTGGAGTGGCCTCTCAGCCCCCCGTGTGGAAAATGGTGCTGGTGTCACCACCGTGCTGCCATCAGGGCAACAAAGCCGGTTGGGCTGGCTTGCTGCCTTGAGCAAGAAAAACACGGGTGCAGAAAGCAAGCTGTGCTTGCACCCACCCCATGCTGGGGACAGGCTGTGTGGATGCGGTGCGTGGGTGCTGTGTGTGAGCGCCGCGGCAGCTCCTCTCCGGCAGCAACGTGAAGCTGCTGCCGGCCGCTGTGTGGGCTGTGAGGCGGTGTGGGCGGTGTGGCAGCAACGTGGGCATGATGCACAGTCTCACCATTGCGTGTCCAAGTGGCATTTGCTGTAAAATTGGTGGGCACTTGTATGCATTTCTGAATGCATTTTTACTGTCCGTTTACTATCGGTGATGAGTTAATTAAATGCTTGCTTACTTAAAAATCACTAAATTGGTAAAATGGCAATAAGCTCCTTGCTTCCTTTTTGCTTGTGCTTACTCTTCTGCTATTAGCACTACATAAAAGATGTAAGCCCACTACTTGCAAAGGCCTTTTTTTCAGGATGTTTGCTTCTCTCCCTCTATTTGATTTTGTTGATGTTTTAAGGAATCAATATTGAACTGGAAATCATCTAAAATATTGAAATTTGAATTAAAAGTTGCTGAATGTGGTGTATGACCCTTAATCTTATTGCCAGTCATTATGTTAATAGATAGGACATCTTCCTGAGTTAAAATAAATGTACTTAAGGGTTTTCTTATCTCTCTCTTTTTTTTTTTCCCTCAGGGATTTTTCAAGTCAGTTGTAGAGTAAATTCATTCAGATATGTGTGAAGTTTGTTTTGTTCTGCTTTCATTGAGTAAATGTTCTTTAAATGTTGCTGTACACGTAAGTGGGTCTAGCGACAAATATAAGGGTTTTAGGGCTTAAAGAAAAACTTCAGTTGTAGATTAGAATCTGTTACGTAGGTTTGCAGCTACTTTTATTACCGCTTATACTAGATAATTTCTCAGTTGAGTTAAACCAGTCCAATGGATGAATAGCAGCTTCTAGTACTCTAAAAATATTCTAAGTGGTTCATTTTCCAAGAAAAACATCTTTCCCTTTTACTCCCTATTATGTACTAGAATGCAGTGGGATCTGAGCAGGCCAGATGGGCCCTGCACAGAGTCAGGGAAGACAGCTGGGAGGAAAAGCAGCAGGCTAGGGACAAGGCTGTCATTTAGCTGGTAGTGCTCTTCTGCTTAGCAAAACACAGCTGCCAGCGTGAGACTGGTCTGCCATTGTGGAACCATTTCCATTTTCAGTGACACTGTACACCGGAATTGTTTTGCTATGGTTCAGAAGCTTTGGATTATGTTCTCAAGCACTTTGCCAGAGGGTTCGCACAACAGTTAGTGGTGTATATGCTAGTTTGATTGCTTAAGTGCAAGAGTGCAAAAAATTTGTGTAGGTGATCAGTGGGAGAAAAAATGCATTCCTTTAGGCAAAACCAGCAGTTTCTTAAGACAAACCCCAACAGAAATAGATGCAGTGCTAGCTAGAGTACTAGCACTGCAAAGTGGCTTTTCGGATTGAACATCTGCTGTTATTTTATGCCTACACTGAAATTGGACTGCAGTAAGAGGCTGAGCCAGTACTTATTAATGGAAAGATTTCCACTGAATTCAGTGAGCTTAGGCACAAACCTTATGTGACTGTTTTGAAAAAAAGAGCACAACATGGGCAAGAAACTGCTGTTTTGAATACAAGTGTGTAAAATGAAACAACAAATAAATTTACATTAAAATTTCATGTTATAAAGAACAGATGAAAAACCACTAATCCATAGCATAGGATGGTTTTTCATTCTAAGTATTTCCGTCCTTTATATTTATTTGTATTTTGTCCATAGGGGCCAAGAAAGTGCTGGAATTGTGACAAGTGATGGAGAGTCATCCCAAGCATTCAAAGTGCACAAGGTAGGATGTAAATGTTTTGCTGATGCCCAAGTGAGATGCATTTTTCAGCAATAATAATTAGAAAGAGGGGAAGCAGCATGGTTTCATTTGCTGTTTTGGCACTGTCAGAGTGAGTATCTAATTGTGTTATTTGGATGATTTCTGTCTGTTTAAACTCATGTTTAAAGCAAATCTGCCAATGTTATCCCTTCTGGGTGTAGCCACATACACAGTAGTAGACACAAAGAAGTATCCAAATCAGGCTATTGTTACCTTAAAAAGTGCTTTCCAAACTCCACCTGCCCCTAAAGTTTTAACTCCAGAGATGTGGAAGAGTACACCAGTGCAACTTGAGAAAAGAAAAATAGGTATAAGTTCTGCAGAAGCACAGAATCACAGAATCACAGAATGGCCAGGATTGGAAGGGACCTCAAGGAATGAATCTCTAACCCCCCTACTACATGCAGGGCCACCAACCTCCACATTTAATACTAGACCAGGCTGCCCAGGGCCCCATCCAGTCTGGCCTTGAACACCTCCAGGGATGGGTATCCACAACCTCTCTGGGCAGCCTGTTCCAGTACCTAACCACTCTCTCTGTAAAGAATTTCCCCCGACATCCAACCTAAATCTCCCCTCCCTCAACTTGAAACCATTTCCCCTTATCTTGCAGTTATCAACTCTTTCAGAGAGTTGATTCCTCTCCTGTTTGTAGGCTCCCTTTAGGTACTGAAAGGCTGCAATGAGGTCACCCTGCAGCCTTCTTTTCTCCAGGCCGAACAAGCCCAGCTCCCTCAGCCTGTCCACATGGCCAACTAATTCTTAGCTTAGTGAGAATCAAGGAAGTGGCAGCTACTTCACCTACAGGTAAACATAAACTTAATAAATGATTGAGTGGAGATCTGAGAAGGTCACCCAGTCTTTCTCACGCTGAGAAAATCCCAAGGGAAGTCAAAAGCCATTAAATGACCACAACCTCAAGTAATATGCCAGGAGAATCTCTGCATGCTCAGGGATTGGTTTTGCTCATCCAGAAAAAGATAATCATTATCCTATTAAATCCTGGAAGAGCAGAGGACTGGAAATGAAACTATTTCAGCAAACAAAACTGTGGAGCACACTTGATATGAATGTGCTCTCTGACCACCATCAGAAGGCAGTTCATCTTTATTTTTAGGCATCTCTGAGGAAGATTAATTAAGCTGTTCAAATCAGTTTAAGAGTAAGAACTATTTTGCTGGAGCAGCATGCATACCTGCATGACTGCTCCATGCCTCGTGCACAGTCTCATCTCTTGAGCATTGTGTTTGTCACCTTTTCTGGAATTTCCCCCCTTCCTATCTGTTACTTACAACTTCATCCTGCCCCCTACACACTTCTAAATGCCTATTTTCTCAAATTCCACAATGTGTTATCTGTTCTTCCTTCCTGCTTCTGCTTGGGTTTCAACTTACCTTAAGGTTTACTGGAATTGCAACTTTCGTTTAAAGTGAGATTTAAAAATAAATAAATAAATCCTACAGTAAAAATTACTTATCAGAATGAAATTCTAGCAGGCAATAGAATAATCTGTAGATTTTCCATTTTACTGAGCTGACACACTTAACTGTCGTGCTAAGAGTTTAATTGACTTTCTCATTGTATCAGCTTTGATATTTTAAGAGTTGCAGAGCATATAATGTTTACTCTTATCCTTGAAATACCTTTCTTGGATTCAACACTTTTAAAAAACATAGTAACTAAAGTGTAATAAACAGCCTGTGGAGTACAACAGATTTGACTTGTATAATCCTGGAAATCATGCTAATATAAGGAACATTTGGGTCTGTTACCCTGGTGAAAATACATTTAGGATTCTGACTTCAAGCGACACCGTGACAAAATCTCAGCAGTGAAGATGCTGCTGTGTCCATTTGTCCTCCAGACACCAGCTGGCATTCTTCATAGCAGAAAAAAGCAGAAGGGAAAAGCTGCCTGCTGCTCACTGCATCGATTTACAACACTGTGCATTAGTGCAAGCTCACCTTTGTCAACAGATTAAGCCAATAGATTAGAGTACAAACTGGACCACCTAAGGCATGGATATGTGTTCCTTTCTGATTGTTACCAACTTTTGAAGGTGGATTAATAGCCCCTGACAAAGGTTTTTAATCCTTTGTTTTAAACTCTCCCAGAAGACTCATCCAGATTTGTCTGTTAGAGCCTTTCAGCCAACTTTGTGCAAGAAAAATATAGTGTCATAGCTGTACTAGCGCAGGATGTGGAAAAACTTACATCTCTTACATAGATGTAGTGACACCAGTAGCAGGAGAGCTTTGTCTTACTGTTGCATGCTTAAATATACAGAAAAATATATATTAAAGTAGATATATTATCATTTTTCTGGTATATGCCAGACCTGGGACATACAGAAATAAAATTGCATTCACTAGGAATTTTTTTTATACTGATGTAATTCACATTCATTGTCCCACTGATACAATCTCAACCAGCAAAATATTTCACTATGCATATTAGAGATTATGTAGTTGTGTCACCAAATGTGTTTTGACATAGCATTGCTTGTTTAAGCTATTGCAATGCTTCAGATAGCCACATCCATTAACACTGGCCAGATCTCCTGTTGGGATAAGTAGGCCTAAGTAAAACAAGAGCACAATTGCATTTCTGCACATGGTACAGACTTCATATAATCTGTAAAACAATAGGAGACATTTGATTGGGCATATAGTTTGCTGAACCATTAAAGCAAAAGCAGTACTTTGAATGCTTGCGGCAGAAACTTTTTAACATGACAGCAAGTATCCTAAAACCATATGTGCAACCAGTCTTTTTGTATTTTGACTCTATCCAGACAAAGAACAGAATACTCTAAACCTTGACTTTCTTTAATGTGCTTTGGTTGAGTTCTGCAAACGATTCACCATATTTCCTTCCTCCCTATGTTACCCCATTGTGTTGTTATTGTATCCACAGCACAGGCCATAAAGCAATCAAGACTTTTCAGTCTCTCTCATGCAACTTTACAGATCCTAGAAGAGTGTTATATCATGTGTGATTTCGTGTACATCACAGTTACCATACATGATAGGGAAACAGGGGCTTAGAAGTATGTAAACATTTTCCACAGGCAGCATAAGAAGCTGGAGTGGTAGGAAGGTTTGGAATCCAGTCTTAATTTCTACTGTGTGCAGGGCTTTTTTTCAGGCTATTCTTGCTGTTAATTTGTCTCCACATAGCGCTTGTTGCCGTAAGAAGCTCCTGACAGCTGACTAAAACGCTTTGACGCATTTCTGCTTTAAATAGAAGGCAACCTGGATGTATGAAATGTTTGTTTTAAGTAAACAGGAAAATTCTCTAGAAAAAAAGCTTTGCTTCTGACATTGAGTGCAGCCTGATAAATGGAAATGATTGCAATCTGATAAATGTTGTCACGGACCAGTATAAAAGTAAATCATAAATATCACTAACTTGCCAATAGTATATCCTAAGTAGAGAATCTTGCAACTTTTTTCCTTTTTTCCTTCCCTTTGGACGTTCTTTTTTCTTACATTTTTAAATGCCTTAGCACTTTGGTTGTGTTTTTTGAAGGATGCATTTTTAGTCAGGAAATGGATTGTTCAGTGGAAATCCTCAGAACGAAAATGTATAATGTTTTGTCTAAAACTAGGAGAAATGGGATCTGACGTATCATTGTGACACCTAATCAGCTTCTTTCCTGTGGATTTCAGGTTATTTCCCTTTCTAGCAAAGTATTAATTACCAGGAACAAGCAAAATATTTATTACCAGGAAAAGCACAAGGAGAAATGAGCACACTGCCAATAAAACAAAACAACAGAACAACAATTTTTTTCCTTTTCTCCTGAAGGGAATGGGTCTTATAAATCACGTGTTCAATGCAGACAGCCTGAAGAAGCTATATGTTTCAAACCTTGGTATCGGGCACACCAGGTACTCTACCTCGGGGATCTCTGAGCTGCAGAACTGCCAGCCTTTTGTTGTAGAAACTCTTCATGGAAAGATTGCTGTGGCACACAATGGGGAACTAACAAATGCTGTACGACTGAGGAGGAAGGTCAGTATCTCCTGGGATAATCTAGTATCATTCATTTCTGAGTATGCAACAGAAATGAGCAAAAAGTTTGCTATGATGAGTACTTAATGACAAACTACTGTATGTTGTGAAAGAGCATCATAATCAAAATAGCCTTGGGGAGGAGGAAAAAAGGAGTAGACATTTGTAATTGCTATAGGGCATAACTCACTAGTCCTCTGGATTATTTGTCACACGTCTGTATGTCAGGTGCAAAAACTAATTCCTAATGATCATATGTTTAGAGTTAAGAGAGACATAATAATTAGGTGAGGTAATCATAATATGAAGTGTTCTTGTTTGGAATATTATCTTTACTTGTATTTCTGGCTTGCAAAATTCATCATGAGCACTGTCAGGACGTAAACATAAGGAGATCATCAAATGACAGATTTTATAATCTATTTGGCTGGAAGAGTTTTAAAGAACCTGCTTAAAATTTAGCAGATGTTTCATTGTGAAATCTGTGCTATTAAATTCCATCCAAAATCTACAGGATCTACTCTTACATTGAAGCAAGGCAAAGGTATGACAAGATAAGTACTTTACTACTGGTAACCCTTTTTTGTGTGTGTCTTAAAAGCTTATGCGGCATGGTGTAGGATTGTCAACCAGTTCTGACAGTGAATTGATCACCCAGCTGCTGGCTTTCACACCTCCTCTAGAAAATGACGACACTGCTGACTGGGTAGCAAGGTGAGGATTACAGGTTTCAGAATCAAGAACAGCAATATATTCTCAGCATGGTGTGCAATACATGATTATGTTCACCTCTGTCTCATTGCAGAATTAAAAATTTAATGAATGAAACTCCAACTTCATATTCATTGCTAATTATGCATAAAGACATAATCTATGCAGTACGTGATCCATATGGGAATCGCCCACTCTGCATTGGTCGCCTTATTCCAGTAGGGGACATGAATGGAAAAGGTAAATCATAAGTATATACTAATATTCATACACCTATATATATATATATATAAATGAATATGCACATTCATGTTAGCATATGAAGCCATCAATTTAAGTAATTACAGCTGCATTTACTGAAGTAGAGATGGGAACATATAATGCAAAAGTCAGTTTTGTAAATTCCTAACAGTAGTGGTGTAAGAAAAAGGTAATTTGTAAGAAGTCTGCAAACATTGTTTCTGTTTTCAGCAAAAGTGAATCCTGCCTGATGACAGTGTCAGAATTAGGCAGCCCAACTGTAATAGAGTATTTCTGAAAATGAAACTAAGTTCTTATCACCAAAATAGGAAAGCAAGGACGAACAGAATCACAGCTGAGGTTGGAAGGGACTTCTGGAGGTCATCTGCTCCATCCTGCTCATTCAAGCAGATCCACTTGGAGCCATTTATCCAGGACTATATCCAGTCCAGAAAAAATGTCAGTTTTCTCTCTTTCTTTTGTGATAAGACAGTCAAAAGGTGTTGGATTACAGACAGTGTATTTCTGCTTTCCAAGTGCTCACATCAACTGATGGGAATAAAGTCCTTTGAGCACAAGAAAAAACTCAAGATTTTTAAAGCATACAGACATTCGGTTTGATCTGTTCTGTGCCTGTACTATCTTTATTGGAGTTCAGTCCAGTATTCACTGTAGTCAAAAAGCTCTTGACACAATTAACATAGGAAAAAAATAAGGAATTTCTTGTCTAAACAAAAGTAATTATGTATATCTAGAACAATTCAAATATATATGGAAAAATCTGAAATAGTGTGGAGACAACATTTCTGAACCAGGAATATGATGCTGTTAGTACCAGTTGTGCCTAGAACTACTTTATGGTGCTTACATTTTTTTAAATGATATTATAGAAATTTTGGAATGCTAACCATTGCAAATTTAAATTTGAACATTTGGCAAACTAGAACATAGCAAGACAAGTACTGTATTAGATATGCATTGTGGTATCAAAAATTGTGGAATCTAACTATAACAGAAATCTTTTATTTCAGGAAAAGATAACAGTGAAACAGAAGGATGGGTAGTCTCCTCTGAATCCTGTAGCTTTTTATCTATTGGTGCTGAGTAAGTGTTCTGGTTCTCACTTGATCTGAAAGCTCTCCTCAAGCAACAATTAAACACTAAGCCTCAAATTGCCAAATACTGTAATCTCTAACAATGTAAAGACATGAAGGATTAGTTTGTTGACTGTTTGGAGGGGGGTTTTGTTGTTGTTGTTGTTTTTTTGCCAATTCTGACTTTTGAGAGTTTATTTTTTTGATTGAGTTAATGTATAGGAAGTTAAATAATTATGTGTTCATAAAATAAGAGTCAAGACAACCTCAGGAATGCCTCTTGTTGCTTTAAATCTGGATATCCTTATCAATTTTAATTTTAGGCTTATTAGAAGTGAAATTCATATTATTTGTATTATAAAGTAATGCTACGGGAGAGGTTGCAGTGGTAGCTTACGGGTAGCTTAAGTGGTAGCTTATGGTAGCTAACTTGAGCAATAGCATATGCTGCTTATCAGCCAGCCTCCTTGTTTCAAAAAAGTGACAGGCACTTGAAACTATTTCCATAGGTGCAAACACGTTAGACCCATTAAAGCCAATATGTGAGATTCACATTCCCTCCCTACCTAAGACATTGTAAAAAGAAAAGTGGGACACCTTCTTGAAACAAAAAGAGATTGAAGGCTCACTGGGAGACGTCAAAAAAAAAAAAAAAAAAGAGCAGTTAAATTTAATTTTTTAATCAGAGATTACAAAAATATGCATTTGGGTAACACACTACTAAGTAAAATTCTGTGGTATCACAGTATTAATTTATTGCTGTTAGGTGCTAATTCAGACCATTTTAGTAAAGGTCACTTCTCTTACCATGTTGGTCGTAAATCAGGTCAAGTCCTAAGACAAGAAAAATATCATGTTCTAAATTGATTTTCCCATCAATAGGGTTTATGTTTTAAAACTATCATTCTAAATGCTGCGTATTTCTCTTTCAAGGTACTATCGTGAGGTACTTCCTGGAGAGATTGTGAAAATATCCAGGTACGATGTCCAAACATTGGATGTTGTACCAAGACCAGAAGGAGATCCGTCAGCGTTCTGCATCTTTGAATATGTTTATTTTGCAAGACCAGACAGTATCTTTGAAGGTGAGAAGATGTAATGCACAAAGCCTCTGCCTCCTGAAATAATGGGAGGTTATATTCTGGAGGACAACTGACTCTAGAGAGGATCTGGGATCATTGCAGGGTGGCAGTGAGTGTGAGCTTTCACAACAGGGCTGGCACATAATGGGCTGGCACAGTTCTTGAGGATATAAGACTCAGGAGAAGCATGTTGCATCACTTTCCTGTTCTTGTCTGTGTGTATTGCCTCTGTCAGCCTGCCTGCATAGCCTCATGGAAAGGATAAAAAAAACCCATAAACATGATTAAAGTAGTGAAAATATCCTTTCAAAGCAAGAGCCTTAAGAACTGTATTAGTTCTTAGAAAACCTTTTAAATAATTAGACTTATGAAAGAGAATCTGCAAAACAACTTTATCTTAGTGTTTTTGTTGGAAGAAATTGTTACTTCAGGAAAACGCTTTTAATACAACTTTGAAATCTGTGAATTATCTAAGTATTTGGGACTGTCAGTCTAATGTCTTTATTTCAGTAGAAGCTTCTGAAAATTGTCTTAGAGATGCTATATTAGCCAGGACATTCATACCTAGCACTGTCCCCACTTCTCTCGTGTTCCCTAGTACTCTCCTCTGTACCTTTACCTTGCCTATCCTACCACAGTACTTCCAGTTTCCTCTCCTAGTTCCAAACTTTTAGGACCTTCAAAGCTCTCGAGGCCTTTTCTTGCCTTAATGAATGGGGGGTAAATATAGCCAACTGATTCAAAATTAGTAAGTGGATAGAGGCAGACAGGATGATTGCACAAACTCTGTCTGCTTAGGAAAACAGACTAAAAATAGAATATGCATATTGTGAATATGCAGGCATAATTTCTTCTTTGCTCCTGTAAGTAGATTTTGTAACATCCACAGGAAGTTTAGTTACCTGATTAGGGCAGACTGGGTCTTAATTCTCTGTGTAGTGATAGAGTTGTGAATGTTAGAACATGACATTATGGGTGGAAATAAAATATGAGCTCATGTGAATGACTGCTTATTAACTCCAAAATTTTTCTCACTGACTTCTATGCCTGCAACTTACCACAGACATTTGTACAGCAATCTGAGAGGAAATCTGAATTATGCATACCAGGAAAAACACTTATTGCTGTTCTTAGGTCAAATGGTGTATTCAGTCAGGAGGAGATGTGGCCAGCAACTTGCTATTGAAGCACCTGTGGAGGCAGACCTGGTCAGCACTGTTCCAGAGTCTGCAACCCCAGCAGCTCTGGGTTATGCTCAAAAGGTTTGTGTTAATTTGCTTTCTTTTCTGAAGTATATCTACACATACCATTTTTTGGTAGTGGTGCATTTCAGCACAGGCTACTAGAGTGGCCTCACCTTCTGAGTCATCTGCATCACTTGTGTTTTTGTCATTATTCCACTCTATTAAGGTATTTCAAAGATATTTGGTTATTGTGAAATCATACTGAATCCTAAGGTTTCTTTAAAGCACAGTAACTGAGAATAACCAGTTTTATAGATGCTAACTCTGTTTAATGTCTCCTGTTTATAGTGTGGACTGCCATATGTTGAAGTACTCTGTAAAAATCGCTATGTAGGAAGAACTTTTATCCAGCCAAATATGAGGTTACGGCAACTTGGTGTTGCAAAGAAGTTTGGTGTTCTATCTGACAATTTTAAAGGCAAGCGAGTTGTTATCATTGATGATTCAATTGTGAGGGGCAATACTATTTCTCCCATAATAAAACTACTAAGGGAATCAGGAGCTAAAGAGGTAAGTTCATTTTTAGTCTGAACAGTACACATTTAAGTACAAGATTGATGGGAGGGTAAAGCACTGGGTTTTGACTTTATTTGTACTATGCATTTTTCCATTATTTAAAAGTGCAAGTGTGCCAAAAAAAAAAAAAAAAAAAGAAGGGTGTTGCGTGTTTTTGTCATGGTGGGTTGAAAAGTTTATTTTGTTTCTTTGGCTTTGATTTTTGGGAGATTAAGAGGAGAGGAACGTGTCTCCATTTATGAAGTGCTAACTGACAACTAGAATAGAAAATAGATTAGGTAAGATGAGGAAAAAAAGTATTGGTGTGATGTTAACTGCCACATGCATTAAATACATTCACATACTGCAGTAGATAGGCATGTGCTTTAAGTCATCACAACACATTTTTTTAATTGATTCAAATTTTTTAACTGAAACAGTAAGCAAGTTTTTCAGTGAAGCAGAAGTGTTTCGTATGATGTTTGACTTTGTAAACTGAAACACCTGCATCAAGGATTGAATGCTATAGAAGTAAAATAAAGACTGAACCTCATGGAACATTATGAAATATTGTCATGATAAATTCTAAAATTATCTTTCTTGTCGTCTTCAAATCTGAAAGTTATCTTACTTTTAACCATTCCATGGTTTTGATCAAATGCTGTGTTCCTTCATTATTAGTTTGCAGAATTTGGACTTTGATATTTTATTATGATCTGCTGAGCTTCACCTCATAGCACTGTTTTGAAATTGTGTTTTTATTCAGGTGCACATTCGTGTGGCTTCACCTCCCATAAGATTTCCATGTTACATGGGAATAAACATTCCAACAAAAGAAGAACTGATTGCCAACAGACCTGAATTTCATGATCTTGCGAACTATATAGGTAAATGTGGGGTTTCTTTGAAAGATGGTTTTCACCTGTAAGGTATTTACTGCCTGCATCAAAATAAAGGCAAGAATGGCAAAACTGACAAAAAATCATAAAAGCTGACACACTAAATACTGCGTGTTCCCTATGGTTCAAACCAATTTAGTTGAATATTTTATGATTCAGTTAATGAATTATATTTCTTATATTATATATATGACGAATGTAAAGCATTAGAATAATTTATAAGTTACAAATAAAGGCTAATAACACGTTTCCAGTACTTAGAACTCCTTCTGGGAAACACTTCACCACATGGTGTTGCTGTGGGCAAATATCAGAAAGAAAATAAGTGGTGAAAATCTGTTGTGTAGTGAAAAACTAATGTAGTTTCACTTTCTTGACATTCATAAAAATATATCCTGAATTTATAAACACCCACTGATTTTTCTACAAATTTAAGTTCTTGTAATTTGCGTCACTTTGAAAGAAATGACATTTGAAACTAATCCAAGAATTTTAATTAAATGTATTTTAAGATCTCTAGAACAAGTCATGTTTACAGCAGAACAAAGAACCAGTAACTTAATGTTGCTTGTGATGTAGTAAATAATGTGCTCATCATAGAGATAGCAGTAATAGAAATTGTGTGAAGATCTGTGAGTGAGAAAATCTAGTATATGGCTTATTGTGCTGCAAAGTATTTTAAAAATGATTTAAGAATGTAGCTGTGGTTAGAAAACTTTAAACTCAGATTTCTTGTATAAATACTGTCTAATCTTAAAATTAATTCCTTTCTCCAAAATCATCATCATGAAGGCATGTTGAAATATTTGAAGTTTGTAGGATCTCATATTTAAGATGCATTCTTTCATAAAATAGTGAGTGTAAATGAAAAAGTGATTATGTGAAAAGGCTGTCAAACTCTTCTACTGCTACAACATTTTCATGAACTGAATACTGATTTTTTTTTCAACACGATGTTCTTCTGCTCCTCCAAGTTCTAGAAAGGGTATTATTGGTAAGATGTTTAGTTTGGGAATTGAGTCACATGTTACACCTACTTCCGGAGCTGAAATGCAGAATAACTCTGTGAAACTGTTCAGAGTTTAAACAGTCTTACTACATACCCTGGATTCCATTTCAATTTTTGCAGATCTCAACTCAGAACCTCCTGTCTAGATTTCAGTGATTCTGCTCCCTGTACAAATAATTTGTTATGGTCTGATAATTTTTCATGATTATTGACTTCATGTGAGGTGATCCACCTTGTATTGTAATCAATACAATAGTGCACTCACATTGTGTAAGAGCATTGCATTTGGAACAAAATTGCAGCTTTTAACTGATGAATTCTTTATTTCCTGTAGGGGCCGACAGTGTTGTTTATCTTTCTGTGGAAGGGCTTGTATCGTCTGTGCAAGAAAGCATCAAAGCAAGAAAAGAGAATGAGAACAGTCTTAAAACCCAGAAATCACGTGTTGGAAAGATTGGTCACTGCACAGCATGTCTCACTGGAGAGTATCCTGTAGAGCTAGAGTGGTGAATTTTTAGTGGATGGACATTGGTTCATCCATTGATGAATGTACCTGTTTCAAAGATGCCTTCTTGCTAGTAGCCTTCTTACATTTAGGTAATATGTAAAGCTTACCAGAGCTAACTGATTACTGTTACTAACTACATCTTTATGGTAATGGCTTAGATAAAGTCTGTGCTGACAAAAACTATCTAAGCAAATTAAAATATAAAATCATATAGTTTTGAAGCACAGTTGTGCTTTCTATTTTCTCATAAAATATTGTAAAAACCAAAGTGTTTGTAATTATTTACCAGTCCTAAAGCTTTTTGTTTCAGTCTTGCCCTGAATGTGAGATATCTGTGTCAGATTTATTACAAAGTTGAAGTACAAATTATAAATCATACGGTGTAATTTCAAATTATCAAAATCATTACAAGGAATGTGAAGTTTGCTTCTCTATTTTGGAAAAAATCTGAAGAGTCAAATTGCTTCCTCGACAGTTTTTGCTTAGATTTAAAAAAAATATATCTTACTAAATAGCCATTTATATCTATAGCTAAATAGCATATAAGCTAAATAGCCATTATAAATCAAGCCCTTTCTAAGTATCCAGATTCCATGAACATGATGTCTGGTACATGATTTTAAGAATGAACACTCAGGGAGATGCTAAGCCAAAAGCTTTCTGTGTTTGTAACTTCAAAATTCTTTTCTGAAATCCAACGCAAATCTTCAGGTGTTTTCCAATGGCCCTTCCAAGGATGTGGAAGGAGAAAAACAGTTGGCACTGCCATTTTTTATTTTTTGTTTCACATCTTGTTTTCTCCAGGACAAGTCCTGACAATTTCTGCAGTGTGAGCTATTACTCAGTGTGCTCTTTCTATGTTAAGTGTCCAAACTTCACTCAAAAATAGTTTCTTAACAGTAAGCGTGATATAACAGCTGAAGATTGTGTTGTTTTGGCCAGACTCTTTATTTTTACACATTACTGCTGTTAAAATAAATGTAATGTTTTAAAAGAAAGAGTTTTGAAGAACCATTAGTATTGAACTTTTTAATTGTATTAGCATTATATTTTTTAATTGGTCACAGTTAGTTACTTGTATACATAAAGATCGCCTCAAAATGAACCACTAGCTGAAACAGAAAAGCACCTTTTGAAACTACTGCAAATGAATGCACAGTTGTAAAAAATATTTTGTATACCTGTGTTTTTTCACAAAGTACCAGCAACTTAATTTTAGATTATCTATTTAATATTGTGTATTTTGGCCTTACAATTGCATGTGACACCACTACAAAAACAGAGAAAAATAAAAGTTTAAGAGCTTTTTTCTTCCCCATCTTGCACATAGTTGAGAATTACAGCACTGGTCATTATATTAACAATTGAGCTTACTTAGGTGGAATTTGTAGCAATTGTGCCTGATACATGATCACAAAAGTCTCAATTCAAGAAAGGATGTAAATACTTTCACAAGACTGAGCCTTGTGGAGGGTCTCTGTGGAGTCAGAACCTACTTGCAGTCAAGCTAATGGGAAAATCTACTTTATCTTGAGAAATTGCACTCTGTGGAAGTCCAGATCTGCTTATTGGGAGAGGTAGATGGAACTCTTCTATTTAGCAAGTGTTTTTGTTTTTTAACAGTCCCATCACCTGGACAGCAAAATGAGCAAAAAAGGAACTGGATGCAATCTCTCTGACCTCCGCTCTTCCATACTAGAAGGGAGAAGTGTGAGAAAACTGAGAAACTTTTTTTTTTTTTTTTTTCCCCCTTCTTCTTTCCTGCCTTCAAAAAAGCAAACATTTTTGAAAGGATAAATCAAGCTCTTGTATTAGATGCATGTGAGGAGATGAAACCAGTTGCACAGTTTAATAAAATTGCAAGCAGAATTCAATCCTTTTGAAGTTATCTCGTAGAACAGATTGAAACTTATGCAAATAATTTTTAACAAAAGTGTTATTTGTACGTGTGGGAAGAACTGTTTAAATGTGATTTGAGCATCAGGTGGCATAAATCTGATTTCAGTGAGAGTCATAATCCCATTTTTTTCAATGAAACACACATTACAGAAGGGCTGCCATCGTATGCCCCATAACTTTTAGTTATGCTGCATGCCTCATTTTAAAGATGTATGTTTTAAACGTAAAGAATGCTTTTTGAGCGCCACTTTATTCACTGAGCAGTGAGGAGGCTACTGGGCTTCTCGTGTATCACACACAGCAGGATGCACACGTGCTGTCAACACTTCGAAGGGAAGAATTCCTCTGCTTCTAGGCACTGCTACCACGTGCAACATTAAAAATGGTCAACTGTTTTCTTGGAATGTCTCTACACTGTTTTTGCTGGCAGCATGCCTCGGAGATATCTTTAATAAAATCACCCTGAAACAGCCCTCGGGCGTGGGATAAATCCATTCGGGTCCTACGTTAAATCCCTTCCTCGCGGCAGCGTTTCAGCCCAAGAGCCGAGCGCTGCCCAAGGCCGCAGGACCCCTACGGCGCTCCGTACCGACTTCCTGGGTGAAGGGAGTGAGTGGCCCGTGCGCGGCGAGGCAGGACCTTGCCCTTCGCTCCGGGGACCTTGCGTTTGTTTTCTCCCCTCTGGCTGGCATGGCTATAGCACTCCCTCTCGTCTTCTCCCCGCGGCTAAAATCGCATCACCCACACCCGCCATTGAGATCCGGGCGCCGCTTGTTGATGCATCAATAGCGCGACAGGTGTTGACCAATGAGCGTACGCGTTACTAGAGAGCGGGCCAGGGGTAAAAGAGATTCCACCAATCGGGAGCGCTGTTCTTTGGTTGCTGGGAGATGGTGAACGGATGGCGCTGGGTGTTGCTGGAGGGCCCCGGCAGAGGTGGGTCTCGTGGTATCCGAGCCGCGCTGATGGTGCCCGTGGTCGCGGCGCGGCCGAGTGCCCCGGGACGGGCCGTGCGGGGCTGTGCCTGCGGCGTCTGCAGACGGGGAGGGCTTGGAGCGTGGCGGGGGTGAGCGCGGAGCTTTTCTGCCTCGCGTCTCGGGTGCTGGAGCGGTGCGGGCGGTCAGGAGGGCCTCGCGGCGCAGGGAGCGGTACTGACAAAACCTCCCCGTCATCGGCGCGGTGGATTTTCCACTTGCAAAGAAATTAAGGTTATCTCGCAGTACTACTAAAGAGAAAGCCATCAGTTGATCCGTGTTACCGAAATTCTTAATTTGGTTGCGTCCAGCTTCAGAAACAGAAGCGTAGCGATGAGCACCCTCTGCAGTCAGTCACTACGGCTCACTATGGGCATTTCCAGCCCGCTGCCGCCCCCCGCGCCGCGCCGTCGTGGCAGCGTTTGCGCTGTTAACGCAGTGTGGGCTGAAACCTCCTTACGGGGTAGCTGAAGCTGCTGCCTGTGAGCGTGTGCAGTTTGATACACGTTGGCTAAACGCAGACCTGTGAATAGCGAAAAACGTGCAGCTACGCTTTCCATTCTGATAAAGGAATTTGAGAATGGGTTTCAAGAGTGCCGAAATTTTTATTTATTTATTTATTTATTTATTTATTGTGGCTTCATTTTCAGTTTATATAGGTGCGTTTTCAAATAAAACATGTAGACTTGTAGTCAAAAATCTGACCATGTCTTTTTACCAGACTTCTGTAAGCCCTCTCTTACCAGAGAAAAAGCATCCCTTGCTTCAAGTTGTACCTTATCTGTGTCGTTGTTCTTTGGCACTATGTATGTTTGTGAACAACTGTTCTCAAAGGTGAAGCACAGGAAGGGTAAAATTTCATCAAAAATCTCTGATGAGCACCTTGAGAGCTCACTGAGAATTGTTAGCACTGCCATTGAACCTGCCTGATGCACTACCTTCACAAAAACAAGATCCCATTATCCTGCTGTTCTTATGGTTTAGTTGCCTTCTTCTTTTGTTTGTTTTAATAAAAAATATTAAAGATTAAGATGAGTTTTGTTACTTACATATTTTTAACTATGTTATATGAAGGCTGCTCAGAAAGTAACGCCTCCTATTTTATGATGATGTCTCACAATGTCACAGTCAGACATTGGTGGTATGGCAGTAGAGGCTGAACCTTCCCTCTGCTATCCTGTTCCATTTTGTTGCCTTGTGGCAGTTGGTGGCAGAGGGGCAGTCTGACAAAATGACATCTGACATGGAAGTGCATAGGAAGAAAAGGGTTAGAATTAAATTTCTCCATACAGAAAAAACAACACCCATTGACACTTGGTGAATGTTGATGGAGACCAGACAGTCAACATGAGTACAGTGGGGCAGTGGGTGGTGTGTTTCAGCAGTGGCGATAGTGACAGTGGTCATCACCTCTGCTGGCACAGATTTTGATGAGTGTGGCATGCAGACTCTTATTCATTGCTGGAAAGATGCATAGCTCATGGTGACTCTAGATAGAATCATAGAATGGCTTTGGTTGGAAAGAATCTCAAAGATTGTCTAGTTCCAACCCTCCTGCTGCAGACAGGGTGGTTGTTGTAAAAAAGCAATGTTTTGTAGTTGAAAATTTGCTCTGTTAATAAACGTTATCATGCTCTTTGTATCGGTCGTAGTTTGGAAATAAATAGGAGGCATTACTTTCCAGGCAACCTATGTATAGTGGCCCAGGACAATCCCACTTCACTCAGTGCAGCTCAGGCAAGCCAAAAGGTTGGACACCCGTAAATTAGCAAGTTACTCCTAGCCCTTAGCATGGGAGCTGTTGTAAATGATAAAAGTATGAGGTTTTGCATTCCAGTGGTGTGAGGCATTGTGATAAAGGATTGTGCTTTCTGTTCAGGGGTTGTTTTTTGAATTTTTTTTTTTTCCTGCTTGGCAGTGTTTTGTGTACTTAAACTTAATATTTATTAAAATATTATAAATCGGGAGATGACAATGCACTCTATGTTAATCTTTCAAGGGGATCTGAAGAAGTGCAGCAGAGATGACTCTCCATGATATGGTGGCTCAGGCAGCCAGCCTGCACTCAGGTAGAAAAGCTGTTTGGTTTGATGAATGCAATGATGGACCTCCAACTTTCTACACGTATGCAACAGTGATTAAACATGCCATGGAATTAACAGCTTTCCTTCAGAAGTACTGTGATCCTCAAGGAAGGTGTGAAATAGGCCTTTACTGCTGTCCTGGAATAAACTTACCATCTTGGATCTTAGGGTAATGGTTTGAATACCTGCATTCTGTGTTGTATTTTTAATGGTCATCTCCATTAAAGCAAACTTCAATGTTTTTTATATCAACAAAATGCTGTAATACTATTGTAATACCACTGGCAGTAACTGCTAGTTGTCTTTGGTACTGCTGAAATGCTACAGTTGTTGTTTGTGGGTTTTTTTGCCTTTATTGCATTCCTTAACAGTCTAGAGGCACCGGAGTCTCAGATTCTTATGAAAAGATTGTGGTATTACAAGTCAGTCTTTGAAAAGTCAGTGCCAGAGGTTTTTTAATCTTAAGTTCATTGATCTAAAATGTAACTTTTTTTTTAATGTGTGGTTAAGTATGTTTATAGACATATGAACAATTATTAATGACCAGTATCTTTATTCTTGTTTTAAAATGGAGTTGATTTAACAGAATAAATATCCAGTGCAAAACAAATATGCGGTTTTGTAATGTATTCCTCTTGTCTTGCTAGCAAAATATATGAAAAGAAATCTCATGCTTCAAGCTAAATGAGTTTACAGATGCAGTTCCATTACAGGAAGGTTGTAGGAGAAAGTAATTAGCAATGCAGCACTAAAGAAACATTGATTATTTAATGGGAAGGAAATGGAAATGTTTGTGATCTCAATGTTAATTCAGCAATTTTTAAATCTGAGTGTTGCTAATGAATAATAATAGTTGTATCCTTGTACCTGTTACACTTACAATGTAGTACAGTACCTCATCACCACGAGCACATTTTCTTCAGTGGATGAAGCAGCATCCATGCTTCTCTTAGTTCTGTGTCTGTATTTTCCTGCTGTCACACTGCACCTGAAATGTGCAAAAAGAAAGAGCATGCATCACAGCTGACTACTGAGATCTCAGTGAAAGGAGTGCTGTAATAATAAACCTTCCAGGTGTGCTGACGAACTGCTTCACTACTAAGGGAAACCCTTCTTTCCCAGTGCGGCAGCAGAACTTCCCAGAGAAGTTGTACAGGCTCCATCCACTGAGACTTTCAGGGTCTGACTGGAGCAAGTCCTGCACAGCATGGCCTGCTCTCACAGCTGGCCCAGCTTGAGGTTGCCTCAGGTCCCGTCCTTCCTTCCTTACCCTCTGTCCCAATGCTCTGAGCAGCCACACAGATTATCTTTTGTAATGTGACTGGAAACTGACGAGGCACTTTGGTTTATCGATTCATTTATTTAGAGCTCTAATTGCTGAGTAATTAACTGCTGTATATAGTGCAGGGCAGGCCTAAGTGCTTATTGATTCCAGACACTATTCAAGTATGCAAAAGGCTGCAGTTTCCAAGCCTTCGTTCAGTATCTTGTCATCATTACAATGATGATTCATTTGCACGAGAAAATATACCTAATTGGACATGGGAACCAGCCTTAGAGGAAATGCTACAATTTATGGGAGGTGTTCCTGTTTTAGTTACTGTTTTGTTTTGTAGAGTAATAAATTCAAATGCTTGCCTTTATCAAAGTGAGCCACTAGAGGGAGTGATTGCAGTATACAACTGTTGGGGAAAAAAGGGACAAGTGAATAATAGCAGAATGGTACTCAGTGTTCCTCTGTTCATTAGGACAAAAGTTCTGGTAAACACTCAGAATTTTCTCACGCCAGACTGTTTAGTGAGAATAGAAATTGTACTCAGTGTGCTGTTGTACACACATAAATGAATGTTTGTATTTCTGTTCACAGTCAATAGCAAAAGCTTTGAAATTGTGGTGCTGTTGATGTCAGTGCTACCTCTGTCACCACCGACCTGCTTGGCAAAAAGAATTTTGAATGTTTTTTGTCTAGCTCTAATCTTTTTCCTCACTGTAAAATGCGAAAAGGCAATACTGATTTACTTCATATTGTAATATTGTATTTCTAAAAAATATTTGAAAGTCATGTTATAACTACATTTTCTGACTCTGGAAACTATTTGCAGGGGAAAAAAAAATCTGAGTGAAATGTAAGTGGATTTTTCTTAGTTTTATTATTATTTTTTGATTTATTTAAAACCTTTTACATTTTGTCTTGTTAGAATCCTTCAGGTTCCAGCTGCTTACTGTCCTATTGATCCGGATGCCCCACCACTATTGTCTACTTACTTCATGAGGAAAAGCAATCTTCAATATATTCTTGTTGAAAATGACAAAATAAAAGTGAGTGTTCAGACTTCCAGTGAAAGCATTGGAGCACAGTTTAGAAATGTGTAGCTATTCAGATTGTACTATGTTCATATAAGCTTTGTTGAGCTTGTTTAATTCCTTTATGACAAAAGTCCTTAAGTCAGAACATCTTCAAGATTAGAAGCAGAAAGTATTCTTCCTTCCTTCATTCAAAAAAAATTACCTGTTTGTTTTTACTGTACTGTCCAGGTAAACTTGTTAGGCAGTGACTTTCAAAGACTTCTCCACTCTTGTTTCTCCATATGTCAAGATTAGGAGTTAGAAATCTTCACAACAGTTGAAAACAATTGCTGCATGTAATGGTTTAGTTTCCTTTTCTTCATCTTTTCTCAAATCCAGTACCCTGATGTATTGCTAAGGGAATAGACAGGACTGGACCATACAGTTGTAATGTGGGGTGCTTTATCTTCTCTGAAATTCTTTTGTATGTTTTCACTTTTCATTATTTGCTCAGATAATTGATTTCTCATTTATGAATTCTGTGTTCATTTAATATGTAAGTATATATGAGCTTAAAACTGCTTGGTGTATGTTCTCCAAAAGTAGAGAGACAGATTTGTGAAAAATGTTTCATATTTTATTACAACAGTAGAGCAACAGTGCAGTCTGAGTTCTGCTGTTTAAACTGTTCATTTTCTTTTACAGCAATTCCAGACATCCCATGTCGGTTGGTTGTCCCACAGTTCTTCCACAATAGAACATATTGGTTTAACTCTCTTCCAAATGCGTTGGAGCAGTACTGATGTTAATTTGCAAGCAGACAATGTGAAAAGTAAATCTGAAGCTTTCAAAGTTATGGGTAACTCACAGCTAGGAAATACTGTCTGCCCAGAGCATCTCAAAATAGAAACATCAGGAGGAGGACACAAGGATGTTGGCCAGAAATGCTCTTTAGCGTACATCTTGCATACATCAGGAACTACGGGGACCCCCAAAATAGTCAGAGTGCCTCATACATGTATAGTGCCAAATATTCAGCATCTTAAGTAAGTGTGGTTTCTATGTTTTCCTTTAAATGTTTCTACAAATTTGATATTCGGGGTCTCTTTTAAACACTAAAGAGAGGTGTGCATTTTTTCCTGACACTGCTTCATTTCCTTCTTTCCTCACTTTTCTGATTTCTTTGTGTTTGTTTCTGTTGCATCAAAATAGTATCATAAGACCTTGTTTCTTATAATGCTTTGTTTAATATTTAAATGCTGCTTTACCTGAATTTTTGAAGGGTGTAATTCAAATCATATTATACTGTTGTTTTAAGTATTTTACTGCTGATCTGCTGCTTAAAAGTAGTAGATAACAGTATTAATTATTCACAAGTTAAGTTAAATTTAATGTGTTTTATGGCTTTTAAAGCCTAATTCAATTGTAGGCTATTTGTATATATTTGTAAAGAGGCTTTGTTAGTTTAATCAGTAGTTCATGTCTTGATACAGGACCTTTTGCTTAAATTGTCTGGTCTGCATATTAAGGCAGAATATGCTTAAATATTTACTGTAGTTTGTAATCCCTTAGTATTGCTAAAGTGAGGCATCTATTTCATTCCACTCTGCTCTTCTAGTTTGGAGTTGATTTTTTTTTTCATCAGGGTGTATCATATTTGTAATTCCTGACTTTCTGTTTTTAGATCAATTTTTGAGATCACCCAGGATGATGTGCTGTTCTTGGCTTCTCCTCTAACGTTTGACCCATCTGTGGTCGAATTGTTCGTTGCTCTGACAAGTGGAGCCTCTATTCTTATAGTACCAAATGCTGTTAAAATGATGCCTGTGGAGCTGTCTACTGTCCTGTTTAGCCATCACCATGTGACAGTGTTGCAGGTAAGTAACACCTGAGTGACTGCTGTGTCTCACTTCTCACTTTTGCTAATATGCATTACTTGTTTCATCAGTCTTAACAATAATGAGTCTTAACAATAATCAGTCTTAACAATAATTCCTGAAGAAGTAGACTGTGCTATCCTATTTGCAGTAAAATGTTAACTGTTCAGAAAATTACCTTCTGATCAAAGCCTCAAACATCTTGCAACATAAAGCAATGAACTGAAGATAAAACCAGCATTCATCTTAAGAATCCATTAGTTCTTAAGAATAATTAAATTACGGAGTAGCCTGTGAAAAACATCTACATTTATTTAGCATCTTATAATGGGTTTCCTCTTTGAGCCTCACGTTTTAATAGCAGTATCTATACTAAAAATACAACAATTAAAACAATGCTATCTATTGGTTGTTAAAACATTTGTTGTTTTTAAAATACTGAGAGAAGAAGAATCACTGATTCCCCAGCAACACTTCTTGTTTTCAAGCCACCTGCTTATATGAGGTGTTATTTGCCCCTTCTCTCTTGGAATAGGTCTTGTCCTATGTGATCACAGTTGTAAAAACTTTAAAGTTAATTTTTGGAAAATTTACCTGAGTGTATGAGTATTCAACTTGGCCAAATAAGCCCAGTGTAAAAAGGTATTTCATAAAAATATTAATTGATAACAGAAGATTAAATCAGGGTTTAGGGGGAAGAGTGGCTAAAACAGATCTCGCTTGTAACTGGCTTTGGACAAAATTAGTGTAGTTTAATTAATCTATTAATTCTGATAAATCAACCCCCAAAGTCTTGCTTTGTCATTAATGTAATTCTGAAATACTTGTAGACAGGTTTCCTTTTTAAAGAATGGTGATAGTTGAGATTGTAGGCTTTAAATACACAGTTAATGAATAATTTGCCAAGGATGCCACAGCAGAAATAAAAAGGTGAATATGCTGTGACCTTATTCCCTGCTTTTGTTTTGATTTATTAAATTGCTATAAACCTTGATGGTGTCCATTTCCCTCTACAGAAGAACATAGGGGCTGATGGCATTCATTAAAAACTTCACGCAATCTCACAAAACACCAGCATGATCTAAACTGGCATCTGATGGTTGATGCTGTCTGTGGTTAGGTAGATCTGCAGCATAGGTAAGATAGTAGATATGATAAAGCTAGAGAAAGAGTACACACATACTGAAATAATGTACAGTGTTTTCTCTTTTTTGTTTTTGAATATGTGTCATCTAGGCAACACCAACACTTCTCAGAAGATTTGGAACTCACATTATTAAATCAACAGTATTGTCTGCAAACACTTCACTCCGAGTCTTAGCCCTTGGTGGTGAGGCATTTCCCATACTGAATCTCTGGAAGAGTTGGAAGCACAGGGAGAACAAAACAAGTATTTTTAATCTGTATGGTATAACTGAGGTTTCAAGCTGGGCCACTTGCTACAGGATTCCTGAAGAGGTTTTTAGGACTGATTTTAGGTAGGAAATTTCAGTTTTCATGGCTTGGTGTGTAAATGATGAAAATCAACAGAATAGAACCTGTCCAGGGCTACAGAGTCCTCACAGGTGTTTATGTTGGTGAAAGTTACATTTAAGTACTTGTATTTCAATCAATCCACTGATTTCTTGCTCTAACACAGCCCCTTCAGGAAGAAGTTGTTGTTGGGTGATTCTTGAACCATAAAACTTCAGTCTGAGAACCTTCATACTTGTAACACTGGTTTTTTTGCACAATATTTCATGGTGATCTCTGTTCCAGTCATTTGTATGTAGAGCTCTTCCTCTTTCCAGCCTGTGTTCCCACGTGCTGAGCGTGAACAAGCTTAGGTTGGGGTGTGCTCCTTCTGGTATTTGCTAGCCATAACTTCAGGTAGTCCTACTCTTGCTCATCAGGAAGCTTTTCCAGTGAGATCTTGCATGTTCAAATAGAGGAAGCTTAGCAGAGCTATTAGTGGGAGTTTTAAAAAATAAAAATAAAAAAAATGAAGCTCTTAGACTTAATCATAGGCTTGGAATGAAGTTATGCTTGTAGCTTAGGTCTGTCAAGTTCAAAATGTTACTTCTGAGATTTACTTATTTGAAGCAAAAATAAGCAAAGGAGGACTTTGAAATCAGGCTCTCTTCAGTGGAGCCCAGTGAAAGGAAAAGGGTCAACAGGCACAAACGGGAACACAGGAAGTTCCATACAAACAGAAGGAAAAACTTTACTTTGAATATGACAGGGCACTGGAACAGGCTGCCCAGAGATGTTGTGGAGACTCCTCTGGAGACATTCAAGACCTGTGTAGACACTCTCCTGTGTGATTACTGTAAGGAATTGCTAAAGCAGAGGGTTGGACTTGATGTCATCTCCAAAGGTTCTTTCCAAACCCTACAATTCTGTGATTCTAAGTGTGTTTCTCAGAGATACAGGGCTTTTACCTATGTTTTTTTAAAACTCCACAAATGAAGAGATAGAAAAAATAAAAATCAGTAACTACTCTCTGACATTGGATAATGTACTGCAGCAAATGATCCCACTGATGTTACTTGGCAAGTACCAAGTACTGAAATTGTACAAAGTGAGACATAAGATCTCACGATCATTTTACGTGGACTTTGAGAAGTAATTTCTTTTCATCATTTAGCACTCTGCCGTCTTCACTCTACTAAAGACTTTGTTCATTGTATTTCGTAAAGAGAGTTGAACGAGTGTTGAGGCCAGTTAGCTCCCTGAAATGTGTAATTATTCCTTGGCATGACAGTTATACATGTGATTTGAGGTAGGCATGTCTGAAACATCCCATTTTATAGGACAAGTGATGTGATATTTTAACCAGGTACTTTAACTGTTGAAGACTGAAAATGGTAGATAGCCAGAAACTGTTCTCAAATTTTCAGAACTCCTTATAAATAAGCAAGGAGTTTTCTGTGGAAGAAATGTAACATGTGCTGTTATTAAATATATGCTATACAGAAAATGTGAGGTCTTCTGCAGCACTGATAGTTTCTGATTCTAGTATTATGTTCTGATTTCTTTGAGTTCAAATGTTACTTTCTCCTCTCTGAAGCTGTTTTTTTTTTTTTTTTTTTACTTGTCTGCACTGCAGAGATAATGTCTTGTTTTTCTGTTCAAACTAAGGTAGAATTGGAACATTTGAAAACTCCTGTAGTCTGTGATTTTTATCTCCCACTTTTCACATCACAGCCTGCTCCCTCTAAGGTATAGGCAAGTAAGCAGTCAAAAACCAAAACGAGGACACATGGTTTTAAGTCTTCTTTACTTCTTAGTAATAGTAGGACAGTTGGAGCATGGTGCGTTGTTATTTTTGCTATCTGTATGATGAAAACTGGTGCAATTACTAAAGAACACTAGAAAATCAAAAGATAAGCAGAAAAGTTAGCACATTATTAGTCTGCCCTGCTCTGCACCACTGCCCTTTTTTCTATATATTTAGCAAAATTAAATGTCTAATCCCAAGACTCTTAATAATAATGTTCAAGTGAGGTGCTGTTTGTCTTCTGTTTTTCCTCTTTTATAAAAATTTAGAAATCTTGTTCTTATTTGTTGTAGATCTAAAAAAAAAATTCTCATCTAGTATTGCATTTCTGGCAGGACTTTCCTGTGGTGTGGCGTAAACATACTGAATATCAGGGATTCTTTCTCAAGCTTCTCACTTGGCAAAACTAAAAAATTTGGCTGCATTTAGCTCAATGTGGGATAAAGAATTCACTGACAGAGCAGAGAAGGAGAGGTTTCAACTGCCTAAATAACAGGGTTTGAGCTAGAGCTGTTAGGTTGATGTAAGAGACTTTATGATCAAAGTTGATCTAGAACCCATGCCTAACTTCATGTATTTGCAAAGTTGTTTGAAATTAGTTTTTCTTAAATTTTGCTTTACTGAAAAAAATCTGTTATGCTGTCTATTCAGCTGTACTCACTGATAGAATATCAGTAATCACAAAGAATTAAAGCTCAAACTATATTGGGGAAATAATGAATTAAAAAGTTATCACGTGTGTTTAAAATAGTTTTGCTTGATGGAGATTTAACCTCAGAGGCTTAAAAACTGGGTACTCTTATGGGATTTTTGGATCCTTTCAAGCCTTATTTTCTATCATTCTTTGGAATGGGTTTTGTGGGGTTTTTGTTTGGTGTGGGGTTTTTTTGTATGTGAACATAAAACCCATGTGTGTTGACAAGTTCATTTTGAACAAATAGAGAGTTTTTGAGAGTATTTGTAGAAAGAAGACTCAGCTGGCTACTTTCACTCTAATGCTTTCCTTTTAGAAGATTATATATGAAATCATTCTTTTGTTCAATCATTTGTGTTCAGAAAGGAAAGATTTCTACTGTTTCTCTCTATTATACTTTAGAACTGATTTCCCCATCCCTTTGGGATCACCGCTCCTTGGAACAACGGTTGAGATCAGAGATGCCAATGGTTCTGCAGTTCTAGAAGGCGAGGGACAAATATTTATAGGTTACTTTATATTTTTTTATTCTTCTAAGATATTTTTCCTAGTTGAGTTTTAATAATGTGTTGGTTTTTCTTGATTGATTGTTTTTTCTTGGTGCCTGCCTCTACTAAACAGATTAGAGTAACACTGTAAATTCCCATTGGGCTGGGAATCTTCTGATGGTATTTTAGGTTGTTGGAATGATGAACAGGAAATGATCACCATTTTAGCTGCAGACAGGTTTCATTGTACTGATTTTCTTTTTTTCCTGCTTGCATTTTGAGTCAGCTGAAGTAGTTTATATGTATTAATTGAATTGACTCTATTGCCTAATTTGTACATTGTAGAAGTATAGACATTGATAATAAACTTCTGATAAAATACTTAGTATTTCATTAATTACTTCATTTACAGATAGACATCTAATAATGACCACAATCTTTTCTTTGTAGGTGGTGAAGAACGAATCTGCTTTCTTGACGATGAGATAATTGTACCACAGGGCACAATGAGAGAAACAGGGGATTTTGTAAAAGTGCAGAATGCAAAGATATTCTTTTTGGGTCGGAAAGACAATCAGATTAAACGTCATGGCAAACGTTTTAATATTGAATGTTTGCAGCAGGTAACATAGCATCTTATGAACAGACTATGCCAGTATGAAAGAGCAGGGATAATGTACAAATAGTTATAATCAAAAATCAGTACGTTTTCATTTTCAGAAGAGCTTTTGGAGTCTTAAGGAAGTTTATAGATTGTATTATCAAAACTGTGATCGCTTAATGTAGGTACTTAAAGTCGAAAATTTGGACTCTGAGTTCTTATAAATCTGTCTTATCATGGGCTTTATTCCAATAGAATTGAGATCTCTATATAGATCTGAAAAATACTGCATGCTGTGTTTCCGTGCTCATATAGTCATTGTTCCACAGGACTGAATGTCGTATCTCACTGCAGAGCTCCATGAAGGAGTCAGCAGCTCCTCCCACTTTTAGTATACTCAGCATGCATTCAGTTTCTGCATCCAAATCATTTGTTTTGAGGATTAGTTTCTAAATAGGAATAAACTTTAAAATATTTTTTTTTTATTTTCACTGATTGCTTACAATTTCATTTTTATCTTTTTTTTTTTTAATCGTATTAAAGCCATTCTTTTTTAAAGTAATGTGTAACTAGATGGGATTTTGACTCACGTGAGACACAGGCAAAAATGTAACCCCTATGTAGCTGTTATCATCTAATAGTATTTTTGTTAAAAATTGATGGTTTAGTATTTATTAAAGTATCTACACTTCAAAAACATGTTCTCTATCTTTATTGACCAGGAAGAAAGTATTTCTTTCAGGCTCTTACTCAGGAAAGTTGTTCAGATAACTGAGAAGTACACTGTAAAGTAGCTCTGCTGGTTTTTCTTCATTCATTCTTTATAGTGTCTGACAACAATCATTTCTGTCTAAGTTAACACAAGTGGAGAGAAATACAAATTTTAAATGGGTAATTTTTTAAAGTAATTTGTGTTTTTTACTCCTTGTGCTCAGATGAACTACATTTCAAAATATATGTATATTTTTAATTACAGGCTGCTGAAGATCTTGGTCAGGTAGAAGCTTGTGCAGTGACCTGGTATCAGCAGGAAAAACTTATCCTATTTGTGGTTCCCAGGGGTGATTTGGAAGAGAGAGAAATTCTTCGTGAACTCCAAAAACGTCTGCCAACTCACGGAATTCCTGATGAGCTTGTACAGATTAAAACTTTGCCCTTAACATCACACGGTAAATGACACTTTAAATACCCTTGCTACTTACTTTAATGATTGTCATTCCATTCTGTTCTTGTTTTTTTTGTTCTTGTTTTTTTTTTTTTTTAATTGACCAAAATCCAGTCACGTAAATCAGATAACTAACTTCTCTTAGGAAATCATGGCCATATGTTATGTGTGTTTGATAATGTTTCATTCAAGATTCAAAAAGAAGCAGCAAAATAAATTTAGTATTAAAATTGCACATTTTTTTTCCTCTATTGCTACTGTCACAGTTTGCAACAGAACCCTGACTTCACTTGGAGACAGTTGAGGAACTGAAAGTGGGATTATGTGGGAGGCTAGGGTGAATGTTCAAAAACCTTATTGGATTCTGTTGAGTATATTTGATTGACTGGATTAAAAAAAAGTGCAGTTGAGTATTAATAAGGAAGCCAGTAAAACTAAGATGACTATTTGGGTAAGAGAATTTTGGAAATGTAAATGCAGAAGAGCAATAAAAAAATCACACTTTATTTTCCACAAAGGCAAAGTTGATATATCTGAACTGAACAAGATTTACCACTACCATCTAAACTCCAGAAGGCGTGACAGTAAGCTGAGTGGCGCAGAGGAACTGTGGGAAAGATTGCAGTATTTATGGAAGGTAGTATTTTGAGCTGCCTTTTTATCTTTGCAAGTGCATCATTATACATGTGTCAGGAATTAAACAGTTTAAGAAGTATGACTAATGCAACCAGAACATTCTAGCTGCCTATACATTCAAGTATTACAGCTCCTTCTGTTCAGTTAGTACTTAAATATAGTGCTCAGTAATGGTCAGCAGGGAGTAATTTTTGTTTCTGTATCATATAAAACTGCAGAGTATGAAGGTATAAGAAATTAGCAGAGGAAAGCTGTAATCTCTCAGTAGCTTTTTGTATGCTGCTTCACTTACCAAGTAAGGTATCCCTAAGGGAGACAGGGAACTGGGACGTGGAAATTTTGTACAAAATAGCTACTGTGTCAGTAGAGTTTCTAATTGCTAAAAATAACTGTGAATTGGAGAGTCTTTTTTATTTTTTTTAAATAGGTGGCACAGTTGTGTAATTGTCTCTTGAGCTGTTTGGTTGTATTGTTTCTAAATTTCTGCGCTGAAGTCTTGTTTTTCAAACTACCTAAATATAATACCAAACTATAATAATATTTTTTCAAAGGTAGACTCTTAATTTTCACCTGAAAGTGGGATTTGCTCCAGCTAGGACTTGAACAAATAAAGGTAGAAAGAAGTTGGTGAAGTAATTGTCTTTTCTTGTACTGATACTGAGCTGTGTTGGTGGCTATAGAAATTATAACCAATTGGATGGGATGTGCCCTAGACTGAGTTTGAACTGTAGAAAGCAACTTCCAAAACCAGAGGATTTGGGACTCTGTAACCAGACTTAAAGAACAGAGAATGCAATGACAGGAGATTGTATTAATTGTTCCTTATTGTAATAACAGTGCTCAATCCAGAATCCTTCACAAATTGAAAGGGCTTGTAGCTTCAAAAGTAGATAGAGAAGTAAGTTGTTTAAATCATTCAAAAGCAGAAGATACTGCTTTGTATAAATTTTATTAATAAAATGAAGCATTTCAAACAATTTTATCAAAACAATTTGTAGTTTAACCCAGCAGGCAGCCAAACACCACGCAGTCATTTGCTCACTCCCACCCAGTGGGATGGCATAGTGAATCAGACAAAAATGTGAGTTGAAATCAAGGCAGTTTTATAGGACAGAAAATGAAGGGAAAATAATAAAAGAATATACAAAATGAGTAAACACAGTGTAGTTGCTCACTGCCTACCAAGTTAAGCCCAGCCAGGCAGTAAGCAGCAGCAGTTCCCCCACAGCAAGCTCCTCCGGTTTTCTTGTTCAGTGTGATGCCACATTGTATGGGGCAGCCATCAGCTGTCTGGTGCTGTCCCCTCCCAGCTCCTGGTGCACCCTCTGTCCACCGCAGCATGAGAATTTGAAACATCCTTTTATCTGTGTAAGTGCTGCTCAGCAACAACTAAAACATCAGTGTGCTGTCAACACTGTTCTCATACTAAATCCAAAACACAGCACCATACTGGCTACTAGGAAGAGAATTAACTATTCTGGCAAAAACCAGGACAGGCATCAATTTCTTAACTGACAGATAGTGTAGATATCATTAATGAACAGTACTGAGATTGAAAAAGGCCAAAAAACACGTCAGGATTTGCCTTACTTCCTTAATTGGAAAAAATTGGAAATAAATTAGCAAAAAATATTGTAGTGTCTCTGTGTTCCTCCTCAGCTCTTCTTATTGGCACAGTTTCAGAGCAAGTTTCCTCAATTCCTGTTAATTTTTAGTGGAATTCTGGATATTGGTTAGGATTTTACTCAAATTTTTGTGTGAGTGTGATACGGTGTGACACTTACGGACTGTTCTCTCTTTTCTTCTTTTTTCTAGTCTGTTCTGGATCTCTTAGATGATTCAAGTGGAATTTCTAAAGATGCAGTATTTTTGTACAGTGGTGGAGACTCTTTAAAAGCACTACAGTTTTACGATGAAATTGAGATGCTAGTAGGCAGAGGTGTGCCTGGGCTCCTTGAAGTTATTCTCAGCCACTCAATTGAGGAGGTTTATAAGCATATTCTTAAAACTCTGTTTCCAGATGAAGACCATCTAATAAATGATGACAATGTTTTGAAAAGAAAACTAAGTAAAAACAGTGGAGAGGAAATTCACAGAAAATATGCTAAACTGAAATCTGAAGGATATCTTAAGGTTCCTCCAGGATTAATTTCTTTTATAGCACTGAGAAGAGGAAATCATTTTTTTTCTATGGATTTCACCAACTCTTTTATGCAACCCAGTAGTACAATACAGGTGGGAGGGGAATCACTACAACAACCATCCTTTCTGTGTGCCGTGACTCCGAGTATAACAAAAAGCCACGTGCAAGGGCATGAAAAGGAGAACAGAACTTTAACAATTACCAACAAAGAAAATAAAACTGACTGCTGCTCTGTGCAGCAAATCTGTGCAGAATGCTATCATGTAACAACAGCAGAGTTGACATTATGCACAAGATGGAAGTCAAATACAAGAAAATGCGTTGATGCATCACCGTTGATTGTAATATCATCTAAAGATGAAGAATCTGCGTCTGTGTTTGTTGGCTCACATTCTCACACAATGCAGGCTATTGATCTAGATACAGGAAAAGTGAAATGGCAGAAGAACCTTGGAGATCGTATTGAATCTTCTGCCTGTGTATCAAAGTGTGGAAATTTCATTGTTGTCGGTATGTCTTTTGTTTTAGCTTTCATCTCAGATTATTTTTTTCGTATTTCTTACCTCTGAATGTTCCCATCTACACTTATCCATAAACTTCCATATCTGCTTCAAAATGAATTTATTGTAAAACAGAATCAGAAGGAATAAGTAATTTAAATGTCATGATACATTATGATAGAGATTGATATATTATGCAGTTGTGATTGATCTTATGCCAGTTCATTAAGGTCTTATTAAGGAGTAAACCATAGGTATAGGTAATTTTCAGTGGTTGATTGAGGTGTGACCCTTAAAGTTTTTTTTAAAGAAGTATGGAAGGGTGATTATGGAGTGTTAAAATGTCATTAAAAATTGATAGAGACAGCAGTTAGGATGTGGTACCTCAGATAATCAAACTCTGTGAAAAATAGTGTAGTTTCCTTTGACTACATATTTATAAACTATATATTAACGTTTGGATTGTTTTTTGTCTTAAAACATAAGTTTTGGAAAGGAAGTTTTTAATCCATCATAGTACAGGAATTTTAAAGACTGCTGGATGTTGATATATAGCATTGACTTTATATACACTCTGTCGGCTAGGACAAGTTAGTAAAGAACACACACAGAATGAACAACTTAGAATGTATAAACTAACTGCAAAGACTTGGTGCTAAAAGAGGAGGAGCAGCTTTGGAAAAGGTTTTGAAGCTGTACCTCCTTAGTCAATTAAATTCTTTCCAGCTGTGACACAGATAACAGCATAAAACACACCATAAATATAGATATTTCTTTTTTTATTTCCACTGTTGTGTTTTGTTTCCTACAGGTTGTTATGATGGCTTAGTGTATGTGCTGCAAAGCACTGATGGAGAAACATACTGGACATTTGCCACAGAGGACACTGTGAAAAGCTCTGCAGTGGTAGATCCTTCCAGTGGACTAGTCTACATAGGATCACACGACCAACATGTGTATGCTTTGGATATTTATGTAAGAGCACTGGCTAACTTTTATGTATACAAGAACCAATATCCAAATTAGACCCTATCTGTAGTACACCAGCTGAAGCTATGTTGGTTACTGTTGGTTAGTGTTGGTATTCTCAGAAGTCTGCCATAAAACTTTTGAGATAGTTGTGCTTCCTTGAATGGGTTAGGATTATGCTCTAATAAATAGTTCTATTGGTGTTCTCATGCTCCTACTCGTGGGTGAAGAAAGATCGTAAGCTTCTCAGTTACTGAATACCCTGTGGGTATTTCAGAATAGGGTGCCCATCTGGAAGCGACATAATGGCTTAGTGGTGGGAAGAGAGTCTTACATTTCAAAAGAATAGATGAGGGAAGATTGCAAACTAGGGGGCCAGATGCTGCTGGTTGTTTAGCAGAATTTTGTACGTTTACTGGAAAGTGCTACTGACATGAGTTTCTATAACACTATGTGAATTATATCTTAATTTAACTAACAAACGTTTATTAATTAAATGCACTGTTTGATAGCTTTGACATTAAAAGATCTTTTTAAAATTCTGAGCTTGAACTGGAATTGTAAATCGTTGTTCTTACAGGAAAAGATGTGCGTATGGAAATTGCATTGTGAAGGTGGAGCTGTGTTTTCGTCTCCTTGTCTGAGCTCTTTTCCACATCATGTTTATGTTGCTACACTAGGAGGACTGTTACTGGCTGTCAACCCGGTATGTACCATTGCCAACTTGTCTTTGATCTCAGTGTCAGATTTAGATTAAACCAAAATGCATTTCTGAAATTAAGAGCACTTTATCAATGGAAGAAATTATGCGATCATGTGTTACTATGAAATCTTTTTCACTTAAGAGCCTCATTGTTGTACACAAGGTCACTATAATAATTTCTGGTGATAGAATTTAAGTGACTTGCTTGAATTTACATGGTATAACTGTAGGCCAAAGTAGGAATCAGCATCTTTCAATTTCAACATACTTATTTTATCAGTTAAATTGGTATGTGAGAGTATGCCTGTAGATTTTGTTTTCTTTCCTCCGTCCTTTTGACAGTAATATTTGGAAAAAATACATATATATATACAGAATGTACTGAAATTAGAACAGAATAAGGAAAGAAGCTCCTTTATTTCTCTTAGTGTCCCCCTTCTCGTAGTTATTTAAGAGCTGCCCATCGTCATCTTGGACTATTGCTCTGTTCTCAGCACCAAGAGAGTGGCATTCATGATAAATGTGGTGCAGTTTTCTAATTTTTCTGAGGCAGTTTTGGCTTGCAGCTGGTCCTGCCTGATGGAAGAAACAGTTACTTGGAGCAGATACTCGTGTTGCACACCACTCACGACCCAACATTAGTCCTCACTTTCCTTATTGTTCCACCCACTACAGATTTCCTCAGTAGTACCCAAATACTACTTCTGTCTGTATCTAGTATGATAAGGTTAAGTATATGGTTTTGCAGCTCTATGAGCTGTGGATAAGAAAAAAGTTTTGTTGTGTGGGTTTTTTTGTTTGTTTGTTTTCATAATTCTGAGTAACAGGCAGTTGAAAACTCCAGCCATAGCTCCATGTGATTATTTATAACAAAGGAGCTTACTGTGGCAATCATAGATTGTGGGTTGAAGCATTTAGTATGGTATTTATTATAAAGACATAATACTAATTTTCAAAAGATTCTCTACTTACTGACCCTGTTCACATTCTGAGGAGCTGAGAACAGAATTAAGAATTAATGTCCTTCTTGAAAGTTCTACTACTGCTTATTATTAATTATTTTGCCTAGGGAAAGGAAGAGAAAGGTAGAATAGAGGCAATGAGTATGCCAGTGTATGCTATTTTGTTGGAATAACATTTGAAGAGTTAGGTTTGCTTCTGGTATGCGTGGCTGGGTCAAGTTGTAAAGGAAGAACCTTTTTGTGCAACCTCCATTGACAGGTGACAGGGAATAAGATTTGGAAGAGTTTCCTGGGAAAACCACTTTTCTCTTCTCCTCACTGCAATGAGAAGTGTGTTTGTATTGGATGTGTGGACGGAAACTTATATTGTTACACTCATTGTGGAGAAAAGGTAAAAACTGTTATGATGGTGGGGGTGGGTTTTTTTATTGTTGTTGTTCATTCCCAAACACTGCATAACATGCTTTATTAATACTGTTTTCTGAGGCTTAATGATTAACATACACCTTTTTGTGAACCAGATAGAAGCATGTATTATACAGAGGCAAAAGAGGAACTGTAGTACATTCAGTCCGTGCCAAACCAGAAATAAGCCACTGAGTCCCAAGTTGCTTGATGTAGTAACAGAAATTGTAGTAGAGCTTATACTCAGAGCAAATGGTAGTGCCAGAGTTGTGCCAACAAATAATTACTTTTGGGTTTCAAGTTTTTTCGAGAATGTTTAAAGCCATCTCTTCATAGAAGGTGGCTGTTGAGAAGTAAAGGTTTCTTAGTGTTTAGTCATTTATTAATTATTGTCATCGTGGCAAAGATGTTGCAGTTGATAGTTCTGGCAAAATAACTCAGCATAGATTTAAATATAGTTTTGTTCTATGCCATGATGAATACGGTTTATTAAAATAAATGATACTATTTCTGTTTGCCTCAGGTGCAACATAAAAAGCTTTGGAATTGCCATGTCTCATTATTCAGTGTCTTAGACAGAGGGCAGGGCACAGACTCCTTGCAGCAGTGCTTAGAGCTCATACGCACTTGAAGAGGGTTCTTTCTGTCCATCATTAGCTTGAGGAGAGAAAAACTGTAGCACTAATGAGACTTCATCTTTGTGGAAAAGAATGGCATCAGAACAAAATCCTTAAAGTTCACTACTAGTTGTGTTGTGATGACCCCAAAACATTCTTTTCCCAAGTTGGCTATCTCTGCATGGGCCTCTCAGAAGGCACTAACTCTTCCAGCATATCTATTTTCTCACGTACTGTGCTTTGTAAAACTTAACTTATAATTTGGAAAGTATTTACCAGCCTACACTGAAATCTTGTATGATTTTGAAATTATATGTGCTTCCATCAACTACTAAGTATTAAAAATTTACAGTTGCTATCATACTGAAAATGGGATCAGCCTGTGATAATGGGTGATTATGTTATTTCTGTAGGTTTGGCAGTTTTCCACTAATGGACCAGTGTTTTCATCTCCGTGCATCTCAAGCTTAACTAAGCAAGAAGTATTTTTTGGATCCCATGATCACTTTATTTACTGTTGTAATACAGAGGGTGATTTACTATGGAAATTCAAAGCCACCTCGACTGTATATGGAACACCATTTGTTTTCCAAAGTAATGACTCAAAGAACAAAGTTCTTTTGGCAACAGTATCTACAGATGGCAAAGTGTGGATCCTGAATGCCAGGAGTGGAATAGCAGAAGGAATAGATACGCTTCCAGGAGAGGTTTTCTCATCACCTGTAGTATGGGGAACAAAGCTCGTTGTTGGCTGTAGAAATGATTATGTTTATTGCCTAGATTTGTACACAACAGGAAAAAAGAAACAAGGAGGATGTTAGACTGCTGCTGCTTAATTGTTTACATTTGTAAATGAAGAACTTGAAGGCAATGTCTACCTCTCTGCCTATTTTGCTTTAGGCAAGAACTGCTTTGTGCAGTTCCTCAGCATTTTGCACCACTGCAAATGCAGGTAAGTGATGTTTGTTGACTTGCTGTACTGACTGAAGGATGACTGCTCAGCACTAGTCACAAGTTTCACTGTCCCTCCCTCATTTCCCTGCTCAGACTGATGAAAGAAAGTGTGTTTCAAATCATTTGGATCTGAGTGTTTTGCTTTTACCTGTGTAGCAGGAAAATGAAAGTCAGTAGTTTGGCTTCAAGTACTTGCATGGCTGGAAGAAACTCTGGTAAGATGCCACACTGTGCAACTGGAATTAACATTCTCGTCTCCCCAAGGGAGGAATGTATTCCTTTCTGTGAATCCAGCCTAGCCTATGCCTGCCTCTTGCAGGTGTTGGACTACTGTTTATCTAGTTTGATTGGAATTCCATTAGATGCTAAGGTAGCCAACATTCTTTGTTCAGTTTAACTTTAATTGATTTCTGAGGATATAGCCTGCATTCTGTGTACATAATTAATATTAATAATCTATAGCACGTTGGGGCCCTTCCTGGCTTCACTTCAGCTAAGTCTGTATTTTTCTCTGTGGAAGTCAGTACCAGTCACTTACTGTATTCTAAAGTGTCTATTAAATGTCAATGACAATTCCTAGATGAGTTCCTAGATGAGATGGGTAGTGTTCAAATCAAAGCTTGCCAAATTATTTTTGAAGAAATTTCAATTAATGCTATAGTGTTTACAGAGTACTATTCATAAGGGATTGTATAGGTTTTTGGTGTTGTCATAAACACCTTAAAAAGAATTACTGTCAGTAATGCAAAGCAAGGATTTGCAGACAGAAGTACTCTTAACTCAAGAGTATCTGCCTGATTACAAACCTTCTTAAAGAACTATTGTAGAAGCTATCAGTCATCTCTCTCCTTGTGAACCACTTACTTCGACTTCTAACATTCTGAGTTAGTTTAAAAACGTAAATAGAAGTTGCAGAGGCTAATTACATGTCTTGTTCATCCATTTTACTGTTATGAGACATGCACAGGCAAGACACTTGTGGCAGCAGAAGTTCCATTATAAAGCAAACCTGAAGTACACAGACAGCAAAAAGAGACACAGAATTGATACATCCCTGATAAGATAATTTTGACTGGGTTATAGTTTAATTAGAATTAAAATGACATTAGTATAATAAACAATTGCACTTTAAAACATTTGAAAAATTAAAAAAGTACACAACAAATACCCCACAATTATACATCTTATAGTTTTTTATACATTACTATATGAACATAGAGGTTAATCATATATAACCTGGTCAGAAGAAATGCTATTAATGTGTATAAGTTACAAAAATTGAGACAATATACTACATAGTGGTTTGTTTGGTTTTTAAAACATTTTTGTGTTTTAAAGTCAGAAGTAATGGTTTGTGTTGGTTGGGTTTTATTCGTTGTTGTTGTTTTTTAAACAGATTTCCAACACTTTATCAGAAACAGCTGCAACAAAGCTAAAGCAAAGTAACACTTCACTTCATTGGTATTTAGTGCAAATTTTTGTTAGTTTATCATGAAATGTCACTGTTGAACATGTACTTTTTAGAAATGTTTCCATCAAGTTCTGTACATAATACAGATTCCATTATTACACTAGATACCTTTATGGTTGAAAAAACAATCTGATTTGAAGCTTTAGCTTAAGACCATCCTTAACAAAAGCTCTGTTCTATGTGCTATAAGTGTATTGTATTGGAAAATTGCATCGTTATGTCATGCACAACAGCACCTCATTATGCTATGCTTTCTGGAATACTTTAATCCTGACTTACTTCACCTTCTCTGTATTAAACTTGTATCCCTATCCCAAGGAATAAGCCTAAAGACAGATTTCAGGCAGTTTAGTTCTTGTAACTACAAATACATATTGCAGGCTTACAAAATTCACAAAAACAATAGATTTAAGAAGTACTAATTCATGATGCTAGCAGAGCAGAAATAATTATGGGCCAAATTCTTTCCTCAGAAAATTCTTTGCAAAAATTTTACTATGTAGCAGTAAGTATTTTTTTCCAAATATTTGAGAACAGCATTGCCTCGTCTCTGTATAAAACATTCTAAATACTTACATTAATGGAAAAAATGTTACTTCACAGGTTTGGGTTTTAAATATGAAAATGAGCAAAAGTGATGGCTTAGGAGGCTCAAAAAAACCCATCTTGCTGCTATTCTCATTTCCATCTACCATGTCCTGCGTGTTTGTACTGTTGTAACCACAATAGCAAACCTTTGCTTTCTCTTTGATGGGAAACTGGGTATTCAGTAATGATTCTACTGTCGAGCCCTTATTGATTCTTGGGATGGGAATTCATGGCAGATTTCATTCTGTTTTCTGCATAATTTAAAGTGCTACTGCTCATGCTGCATACAGCAGTTTGGCTAAAGTATTTCCATGAAATGCACGTGGTATTCATTCTATAACGATATAACTTCTTTCCATCAAAATTATCACCCTTTATAGTGCTTTAGGTCTAAAGTGCCTTTGAGCCTTACCATTACTAAGAGATCATCAAATTTATTAAATATGACCTTGTAAAACCTTGTTGGGCATGTTACAGGTTTGTTAACTAGGGTGACTTTTAAAAATATAGACATAGCTATTTCTGTGGGATATTAAGGATAATAAAATTTTTATTATATTATGGACTTTATGCTTTTTTTTTGCAAGAGGAAGGGAGTGAACACCACTATTTTAGGTATTAGAGAAGTAATAAAGTATCTGCCACAGTGGGTAAGTGAATTGTGGGCAGTAAGTCAATGCTCACTTAAAGAGGGTAAGTAAACCCTTTCAAAGTGTGCTGTCTGTATTGGTCAAAGTACAGGAATTTACCTGAAATACCCTAAGTTGCATGTGAAGTAAAACCAGGAGAAATGCAGAGCTGAAGCTCTAGAGATGCTCATTGACCTAGCTTTCAGGTCTCAGTTAACTTTAACTTCAGTTATGTGGTCTTGCTCCTGTGGGAACTTCCTGAGACCAACTCTGTAAGTATAGGAGCACAGGAATAGTTTTACTTACTTTAGTTCCAATCACACAATTTAAAGTTTTAATCTGCAATTGCTGTTTCTCTGCATGTTAAACATGGCCAAGCATACAGTGATGCACTTAAATGACTACAGTAAATACTGACTCCCTGGCTTATAGAATCACCTAGGTTGGAAACAACATTCAAGACCATCAAGTCCAACAATCAGCCTGACCTACAAAGGCCCATCACCAAGCCACGTCACTTACTGCCATGTGCACACATCCCTTAGATGGCTCTGGCAGCAGGAAATCCACCACTTCCCAGGACAGCCCATTCTGTGACAATATTCTTCCTAAAATTCAAGCTAAGCCTCCCCAGTGCACCTTGAGACTGCTATGTCACGTCCTACCGCTTGTCACCCGAGGAAAGAGAGTGACATTCCTTGCTGCCACCTCCTTTCAGGTAGCTGCAGAGCAGAGGCTTCTTTCTAAAAACTTGCTGACTTGACTTCAGCTTAACTAGTAATTTTTTTTGTAAAGTTGGATGAATTGTTTTCTTCTTAGGACTAAGGGAATATTAACACAATAACTCTACGATAAAAAAAATTACCTCAGCATTTGAACCACCTTCCTATTATTTGCAGGTGGACAGAAGTCTACCAACGTTCTTCATTAGGTAAGACACTTTTAAATAGCAGGTAGAACTACTGACAGATCATACAGTTTAACACTTGAGAAAATTTAGAAGTAAGAGAAGGGAACATGCATCTTGCATTAATTTTCAACAATGGACTGTTGAAAAACTTTTGAGATCTCCATTTACCGGAAGAGATCTAAAACTCCAGAACCAAATTCAAGAGAATTTAAGGGGCTGCTGAAGTTTTGCCCCTTGTTATGATACTGGCTAAAATTTACATCCAGTATCTGAGCATTGTTGAATTTTGGAGAGAGACTGGCTCTGAAATTTGTGACCTCACTTAGCTATTTGTCAAAGCAATGGAATATATGACTTGAATAGGCTTTACAGTGAGCTGGAGCAAAATGGTAATTGATTCAGTTTCCAGTCCTCCAATACATGCATTTTCAGTTTTGTCATGTGTTTAAAAGCTGAATAAATAAAAAGAAAGCAGTTAATAGGCAGCAACAGAGAGATAATTTTGCAGTTTACTTTATGATCTGTGGACAGTCACTCCAGGCTTTTGCTTTCCTCTTGGCCAGTGCAAGCCAAGCTGGTTCTGTTGACACAGGGTTCGCATCAGGTGTGGAGAATCTCTTGGCCACCTCTTTTGCCAGTGGTGTTGGTGGAACAGAATCTGAAATTTCCACTGTGAGGAGGAGGAAACAAAACAAGTTTTAGTTGAACCCCATACTTTGTTGGAGAATTTCAGAGATTTAATCTCTGTAAAGGTGTTTTGATTTAACACAATACTTATTTACAACTCTGTTAGTTAAATCTTACTTATTTGCAAAATAATCAGATAAAGAAGGAGCAGAATTTCCTTTTTCAGAAGCTTTGTTAAACATTCTCAGTCCAAATTACTTTTAGATGCATTTTCACGTTTTGACTATTTTAAAAAGTTTTAAAATTGCCTAGATGGCAGAAATTGCTCTTTTAGAGCAATTTTAATGATGCTTTATTAACTGTAAGTAGTAAATGAACAGTAGCAGGAGCTACTGCTGTAGGCAGACACTTTGAAAATTCAGTAATTTGAAAGGTTGCAGTAATTTATGCTATTTTAAAGGCTGTATACTCTTAGCAGTTCCTGTTGCAGAAGATTCAAGTGCTAGTCTGAAATAGATCACATTTTTATATATATTTTAAGCTATTAGAGGAGAATTCAGCAAACCTATTTTAAACATTTGCTAGCCTGGTTTTCTGCTTATACTGCTCTACTAACTGTGGGAAACCCAAATCAGTGTGTCATCATCCATAGTGTAGAAATACTGGCTTGTATTATATTTGTGCTGTTGATAATGGTTGCCTGACTCCAACTGTAGACAGTGATCACATGGATATCCAGTCACTGTTTCCTTTGCAACCAACACAGTTCTATGCTTTCCCTTTAAGGAAATTCAAAATCTGTGATTCCTACTGAATTTCCTCCTGAAATTCAGCTGATACCTGTATTTATTTTCAGAGGAGCCCACTTATTTACAGTGCAGCTTATAAAAAGTTTTAATCTTTACCTATCTGTACTCCTCTCCAAAACCTTTTGCCTAGAACTATCGCTACAACAGTTACTTCCCAAAGGTCATGGTATTTCATATATCTGTTTTACTGTTCCTGCCTTTTGCATGTACAATTATTTCAATTTATCTAAGCGACAAGTAAAGGAGTAAGTCAGTCCTGGCTCCAGCTGTCCAGACCAGGTACTTGGCTGGGAGAGAGAAAAATCCTAAATTCCAAAATGATAGGGTACCCTCAATTTTGTTTAATTGGTATTCGTATTTTTGAATGAAATGAGTAGTCAAATTTTCAAATTTCTCATCACAGACATTAGAATATACAGGGTGAGTTTTTCTCCTCTTCAGCTGGGGATGTATGGGAACATGATGTGTCTTATTTGCCACACAGATGCATTTAGTAGAGGTTCAGCACCATTTGCACTGGGAGCTAACCCTCAGACTAAAGGCAGAACAATACTGCAGTTGCAATTTACAGCAAATCAAGTTCCCTTAAGTTCACCAGTCTTGTTCCAGAAGTATTTGTTGCATATGGTGTGGGGAGAGAGCCTGATGTCTTGGTGGTTGGTTTTTTTAATTATTGTTAAGTTAATCTGGGGCAATCCTGAAAAACTTGAATAACTTGGAGTACCAAGTTAAAATGATATACTGGCAGCTCATGAGACTGCAGCAAGTTGTGCTGAATGCAAATGCATTTATAATTGTAGGGGTAATACGAGAGAGAAAAAAATCAGTCACGTTCTCAGAAACATGTAATACCACTTCTGAAACTACATTACTGCTTGAGTAAAGGTAAATCTCCCACTGTACCTGTCACAGAAGTTGGAAGGGTGTTAGACTTCTTCAGCTGCTCCCTTCGTTCTAGTCTTGACACAGCCGTCTCAATTTTCTTCTCCCCTTCTTGAGGTGTAGATTTCTGCAGTGTGCTCGTTTTGCTGCTGCTGCTTTTATTATCTGATTGATTGCTTACAGCAGCCTAGAACAGAGGAAAAATGGTAAATGAGAAACAATGTGTCACAAGGCAACCACAAGTAAGAGGTGTCGCACTTGATGCTTTCATTCATTGCTTGTCCTTTCCTCTGCTTTCCTTTCAGGCAAAGAATCCAAACGCTCTGATACTTCTAAAAGTAATAATTATTAAAGCTTGTAAAAGAAAGCAGCAGGATTAATTTTTCTGATTTGTCACTTCAGTCAAAACATTGAACAGTATGAACCACCTTACCTGTTACACAGAGGACAGAAGAACAGGGTGACTTCACACCCACTGCTGTTTTCTTCCACCAGTTATATATGTTTCTGACTATAGATCTGTCTGAGAAATGTAGGTCTCATCACCGACATTAAAATATACAGTTACCCACACAGCTTCCCTTTTTACCATCCATAGTATCTAGATACAGCATCACTGCTTGTATAGCCTGTTTTAAGCATTTGAAAGTTTTGTATGACAGTTCATTTCTTTCATTCATCCGTATTGTATCCAAGTATTATGACAGAAGTGAATTCAAACATTAATGTTCACCTATAAATGAATACAGCAGTTCTCAAGCTTTGAAAGAAACATACTGCATACCATTTTTCTGCTGTAGCAGCTGCCCAGTGGGCAGGCTTATGATTACCACCAACTCCCCCGGATATTAAGGCATCAGAGTTTATACTACAACTGTCACAATGTTGCACATTACTTTCTAATGGAGCAAAAGGCTGCGTTTTACCCACTGTCATCTTAGTTTTTATAAAGTCTTAACAAACCAACTGCACATGTAAATTCTTCACATAATAACAACTGGCGAATACTTCTAATGGTATTATCGCTGTTTCTAAAGATATTTACATTTTCTTTAGCCAGCTTCTCTGCTTGCTTTGCCTCTCTGGCTTGTCTCCTCTCTTCCCTAGTAGCTTGCTGCTCACGAAATCCCTTCTGTTTTTGCAGCGCTAATGTGATCCACAGTGGTTGTGAAGTTTCAACCTTTTCCATCAATTTAGATCCATCCAAAGAGTGTCTGCTCTGCAGGACTGGTTTTTCTGAAAGAAAACATGAAAATGGTTGGATAAGGGATATCCATTGTCTCAAGTAACCTTGTGAAACTCTGCAGCTAAGCTCATGGACTTCTGTGCCATTCACAGACCTTCAGGAACTGTCAGATTCTGAATGAATTTTTAATGCCTCAAGAATAAGACCTAATTCAACACTCTAGTACTTCAGCCAAGTTGAAAGTTCTGTACTCTGATAAATGCACTCTTAAATTGCTATTTGAGCATTAGTTGATTTCTCATTCAGTGTGGTGATTCAAGAGCAATGAAAGGTGGATGTAACCTTTTCTTCTGCAGCACAAGAGCTTTCTGAATTTTCCAAAGCTATCTTATATCTCCACTGCACTGGTTCAAAGACAGCAAATTGCTGCCTGAATTACTCCCTTCTTGCTCTTGTTGCCTTTGGCTATTCCCAGAAACAAATCAGGCTTTATTTAAGCAATTACTTGAAAAGCTTCATTGAAACTAGTAGCCAAAGCACCTGTACGTCTGATACCACATAACTAACTTTAAATATCTACGCTCATGTTTGCAAAAAAGTATTTGAGGCTAAAAACATCTCGACAGCAAGCATCTTGTACAAAACTGGGTCTTGTAGTCAGTACAGAGCTGTGTACGGCACTGAGGGTGACTGTGAGCAGCACTGTGGATGCAAAGGTTCTCCTGCAGAACAAAGAAACCCTCAAAGGGCACAAGGCCCTGCTCTCCTAGAGCACAGCTGTGCCTCTAACTAGTTTCCAAAATCCTCATTTAAAAATGAAAGGACAAAGTCTATCTGTGTTCACAGAAACTGTAAGTAGTTCGCTGAGATGCAATTTTGGAAGTCTTGATGTTTACAGAAGTCAAGAATGGGGGAAAAAAGGGATTTCCCAAATAACTGCTGAATTCTTGGCCTCACTCCTCTGAGTGCCCTCATGCCGACAAGGTACTTTTTCCAATCATACTGAGCACTCTTTCAGGACCCAGGGACTTTCAACCTTCCTCTGAAGAGCCACTAGGGCCAATGTAAGTACTTGTGCTACTGAAGATGCTGCTGAAATGCAGACTCATGCTCTGCTGTGGATTGATAGAGAATATGCCCAGGTCAAGTACTACAAAGGCAGCTAGATCTTATTTCCTTTCTTAAGATCTTTTTAAACTAAATACTATTTGCCCCAGAATAGACACAATATGATGCAAATTATAAAACTGACTCCCTCCACTTTGATGGCACCATTACACATAGAATGCAAGTCCGTATTTGCCTAACTAGGTAACATCTCTATCAAGAAAAACTCACTTCTGTCACCTTGAAATTCACATTCCAAAGCAGGGCATACTGGCTGCATTTAGCTTATGCGTATCTGAATTAACCTGTGGTGTTAGGAAGTCTCATTCATTCAGACAGCCCTATGCGAAGTGGTGGCACTTCACACATAAAATGTCAGGTAAAAATTATAGCTTAAGACCAGATTTCTTTCTCTGGACTTCAGTATCTCATTTTGGAATTGTAGACAATTGCTAAATGACTTTTAAGTACATACCTTTCTTCAGCGGCTCAGGCTTTTTGTCATTTTTTTCTCTCCAGGGAATACTTAGAGATGGGAAAAATGACTTCTTTTCTCTGATTTCTTCCTCTTCATTTTTGCTCTCGTTCAGTGCCACAGGAGGCACTGCTCTGTCATCTTTTCTCCAGCCCCCGTCCAATTCAGCCTTAACAAACCTCTGCCCCAGTGTATCAGCCAGGTGTGATCGGTTCATTTTGGAGAGAGGAGATGATGGAGGTGTTTGGCTGGCAGGCTTCGGAGCTAGAGCAGGTTTCTGTGGGAACAGCGACTTGCATGCTGGTTTCTCATGAGGAGGTAAAGCGTTCTGGCTGGTGGCTGGCAGTGTGCCCACTTGTTGTGAAATCTCCAACGCAGTAACTGAAGAATCTTTTGAGTCTTTTAAATTCCCGTGGACATTTGCTTTCCCTGTACCAGGGGATGTACTCTCCTGTGGAGCAAAAACAGCAGATTCCTGTTCACCTTCAGCTGTGAGTAGCGGGTCAGGCACACCATCAAAACTGTCTCCTGCACTGTATCTTTTCTTTTTCCTCTGCTCTGCCTGTTGATCATAATGGAAACGTAAAGAATAGTTCGTCCTCCGTAACTTTATCCCAAAAGGAGAAACGTTTTCTTCTCCATTCGGTGCTGGTTTATCTGTTTTTTTGGTGCTATTATTCTGCTGATTTTCCAGAGCACCTGGAAGTTCAGACTGGGGTAACTCCTTGCCTGGAGAACGAGGAAAACTGGGAACAAGGAAAGATGGAAGATCTTTTGCAAATTTACAACCTTCTGTGTTGTCTGTAATTTCACTGTGTGTTTCTATTTTCTCTTTAGCCATTTCAGAGAAGTTATCCTTTAAAGTGGATACTACATCCTCATTTCCATCAGTGGACGAGCCATTGTTTCTTCCCACAGCCACTTTTTCATTGCCTTTTGCTGCACTTACATTCTCAGTGCCCGAATTGGTTTTGGAAGCTTCTGAAAATTTCTGCCACGCTGGTGTTATTGAGAATTTTGCATTTGCAGATAGGGTTTTCCTCAAGTTACCATGTGGAGAACCTCGTCCTCGGGACGTCCAGTCATCACTGTGTCTGCAGGCACTTACTCTGTCTTTCTCATTGTATTTGCCATTTTCTTTATTTTTTAAGATTCTAGAACGGATAGAGGCCCACTCAGCTAACGTGGCTTGGTCCAGTGCCTCTTGTGTGTATTTCATTTTACTGTTGCTGGGTTTGGGACCTGAAGATTTTTTCTGGGCCTTTTCTAGTGAAGGAATATCCACATTTTTCTTCTCTTCTGTTAAGCCGAGCAATGATTTACAAGCCGTGTCCTTTATCTGGTTCAGGTTAACTGCTGTGCCACACAGCTGTGCTCCAGTAACTAGAATAGCTGTATGGGGTACACACACAGATGATGGGAGCGTATGAGAGCCCTTGCTGGAGGTGTGCATCATGCTGTCTTTGACGGATGGAGAAGATAGTCCTGCTCCTTTGGCAGGCATGACTGGACTCAGATTTACTTTCTGAAATATGATCTGTTTATCTCCAGAAGACACTTGAAATGTGAAGGGTCTGGATGCAGTTTGTCTTTCATCTACCTCCTGCCACCTAAGTTCTTCCCCTATTCGCTTTTGTTCTTGAGCATCAACTTCTCTCTTCAGTTTCTGGGCCAGGATTTCTTCTGCTGTTTTACTCCCTTTTTCTGGCTGTTTGATTTTTTGGGGTCTTGGTTTTTCCTGGAGCTTGTCATCTGCTGGATTCCTATCAGACCCCCCAGAACACAGCTCATTCTTGTCATTTTGCAGCTCCAAGGATTTTTCCTGTTGCTTTTGATGATGATTTTGCCCTTCTGTGTCTATTTTCTGCTCTTCCAGCTTGTTCCACTCTTGTTCCTTTTGCTGCTTCAGTTCATCTTGTTGCACAATGTCTGTACTTTCCAAGTGCATTTGTTTGGTGAGTTTATGTTTTCTCGGCTCTTCCCGCCTCTGTTTCTTCTCCAGTAGCTGCTGGGATTGCTCTTCCTCTGTCTTTTCCCTCTCCTTCAAATGCTGTCTTTCTTCCTCCTCTTTCTTCTGTTGGCTGGGACCCTCAAACTCTTTCTCTTGCTTCAGTTTTATTTCAGCTTCTGGAAGCTCTTTCTCTTCTAGTTCTCGTCTCTGTTTTTCTTCCTTATTTTGTTCCATTAGTTCTTTTAGTTCCTCCATCTGATTTCTTTCCTCTTCCTCCTGACACCATTTCTCAGTCTCATGTTGCCTCAGTTCTTCCAACTCTTGCCTCTCCTGCTCCTCCAGCTCGTTTCTCTGTTGCTCCTCCAGCTCCTTGTGCCTCCGCTCTTCCCATTCCTGGTGTTTCTGCTCCTCTGGCTCTTGCTTCTTCCGCTCCTCCAGTTCCCAGCACCTCTGTTCCTCCAGCTTCTGTCTCTGTTGTTTCTGTTCCTGGTATTTCTGCTCCTCCAGCTCTTGTCTTTGTTGCTCCTCCTGTTCCCAGTGCTTCTCCAGCTCTTGTTTGTGTTCCTGACACTTCTGTTCCTCCATCTCCTGACTCTGCTGTTCGTCCCATGCCCTGTGCTTCTGTTCCTCCAGCTCCTGTCTCTGTTGTTTTTCCCATTCCTGGCTCTTATGTTCTTCCAGTTCCTGTCTCTGTTGCTTGTTCCAGTCCTCGCACTTCTGCTGCTCCAGCTCTTCTCTCTGTTGCTCCTCCAACTCCTTCTGTCTCTGCTCTTCCAGTTCCTGGCATGTCTGGTCCTCCAGCTCTCGCCTTTTCTCGGCCTCCAGCAGTCTTCTCTCCTCTTCCTGGCAGGTTTGCACTTCAGTTTTCAAAGATCTCTCTCCTTCGAGGAGATACTGACTACTCTCTTTTTCATTGTCCTTTCTCTCTTGCTCTTTTTGCATCTGCTCCTCTAGCTCTTGGCACCTTTGTTCTTCCAGTTCTCTCTGTTCTTCCATTTCTACAATCTGCCTTATCTTTTCAGCTTCAAGGATCCCCCAGTGATCTTCAATTCTTTTCTCCTCTGCCAGCTGAAGCTGCTTTGGCTCATCTCTGTTCTGGATTAGTTTGTTTGCAGTGATGTGTCCATTATAACCTGGGTATCTGTCTACAAACAGCTCAGTCTCTAGATCTTCTGGCTCAAATTCTGTTATTGTTAAGCTTTGTGATCCCTGAAATAGGGAGACAAGTATGGAGTTACTTAACATTGCCTACTGGCTTGATATTTTTTATAGTGAAAAAACTATAGCTTGCAAATGCAAAATAATGTCTTTTCTTTAAAGATAATGACTCAGATCTGGAGCCAACACATTTCAATTTATAGTTAATTTCTTCACAAATACCATGCCTCTCACCTGTACAGATGATCACAGAATCACAGAATCGTAGGGGTTGGAAGGGACCTCCAGAGATCATCGAGTCCAACCCCCCTGC